GTAAAGCTGGGGGTTAGAGCGCATCATTAGTGAGGTATCAGCCTAGTTTCAAAAAAAACTCCTTTGAAGATTAGCTCCAGATCATTGTAACCAAACCCCTAGATGCAACTCACGATTTCCGGCTGCTAGAGAAAGTTTCCAAACTGGAACTTTTGGGTGCAATAGCGCCAGCCATGATTATCGTAAGAAATGTAGTAAGGCAAATTCCGCGAGGCTCCGTTCGACGGACGATGGCATCCAGTCATGCGCCGCGGGCCCGCCCGCCATCGCCCATTGGTCTCCCTGAAACACACGCAAAAACTCGACGGGTGGCCGCCCGGGCAAGCCAGACGCCTTTTACGCGCCATCGATCGAATCCCAGGTGGTAAGTTGGAGGGTGAATTAGAATTCCCCAAAAATAATTATATTCAGAGTTAAGCAGTCAGTTAAACCGCAAAAATCATAAGCAATCGCGGCAGATAGCCGATTCCCCAACCACCACGCTCTGTTTTTGTGACATATGGCCGCGTAAGAGGGCAAAACAGGCAAAAAGTAACTTTCGTAAACTATTGGCGGGTGTCCCAGAGTGCGGCACATGATCACAAGATAAATCCTGAGTCGAGGTTTTGTCAAGTGGACGCGGGACAAGTCGGGTGACAAATGGCCCCAAAAATAGTTTTGATCGCTTACGATTGATCGGTACTTGTATTCTATACTTTATTCATATTGAATAAGCTGTTTCAGTTTCAAAATAAATTCAGCGAGGGATAGTATATATTTAGGGCGGAAAGGTATCGCTAATTTGCTGAACTCCGCAAAAAAGCCATATTTACGCTTACGCTATCCAACATTACGCCTCATTAGGCTTTTAATCCTTCGGACTCGTTGTGCTCTAAATTCTTCTTGCACTTGAACCTTACAAAGGCTTCCATGTGCGCCCGTCGAGACTGGATTAGCTTGAGGACTGTCAACTAATCCAAGAAAAAATGTCGGAACCAAAAAGATCTTCTTCGGAACGCACTGAACCCATAAAATTAACCCTTAAGGACCGCTACTGTAGTATTCCTGTCTTAGTTGGATTAGAGATGTTTCACTAAGTGCAGACCGAACAGCTTTCGATTTTTCGAACGCTAAAATTAGTTCACTGTACGAATAATTACTGGCTGCTGGCAATCGAAAAGAAAAATTGGCGAAACGGGGCAAGCTAGGGCCAAGAGAAGGTACTAGTTGCTGATGTCCTACAATTTTCGGACTATTTGGGGCCCGGCCCTAGCCGCAAAAGGTGAATGCTCATTTCCTGGGTGGGAGGCATTTATTTTTACTCTTCATGACCAGAAGCAGACACTTTCCGATGGTCCCAAACCGGCCACCGTAATCCGGGGTGGGCTCGGCTATTTTCTCACGCCAGATCTAAACTCTTTTCCTCCACTGCTTCGTGCATTTGTTCCGAAACGGAACCCCTTACCCCCAAGTAGTTGCAGTGAAAGGGGGAAGGGTTGGTGGAGGCTTATTCTCGGGCGTTCCGTGCCGCGCAAAGTGCAAAAAAGCGCCCCAACGGACCGAGGGATCACGCCAAGAAGAGAGGACCCAGACGTGCAGCCGGCGTTCCCGCCACCCCTCGCAACATTCGGCCGCCGGCCCGGGACCAAATCGGCCAAGCCAAAAAAATGGGCCGGAAAAGAAGAAGAGACACACCCTGCACTTTGCCGGGGAAATGAGACCGCGGGTGCAGGGTGGCACTGATCGCCCCGGGACCCAGGCGCCCTCCTGGGTCCCATACACACGCAAAAGGGCAACAAGTCTGGGCTCAAATCTTGAACCCGGAGGCGTGAGGGTATTAAAGGGACAACCTCATGCCATAAATCCGATCTAGGGAATTGTGTGATGTTGGCACTAATGGCATGCAGAGCGAAAATGTCTAGAACTAAACGGGGCTTAAAATTTATAACTTTACAATCCTTAAATGTCGCCCTAGAATCTTTTTTGGTCACGGTAAGGGGAGTCGGAAGATTATAACAATTGGTAGGAGTAGCAAAATTTCTAAATGTTTACCGGAGCCAGAGAGCCGACAGCTTTTTTTGTAGTAAGAGTGATAGTGCATTAGCTGGTCCGTAATTACCATACTTGCTAAATGTTAAACTAAAACTCGATGATTTGAAAAAAAGATAAGATAGCCAAGATGCCTTTCTGTTAATAAAAAGATACCCTTGGCTTTCAGAAGGCGTGATTTGGAAGCAATAATGTGAGCAAAAATGAGGTAAGATATAGGCAACGTAATGATTTCTGATCACGAATTCTGAAGGCAATCAAACTAGCTGGGCCTATCTGGTTCAACATACCCCAAAAGTCGATAAAATTTAAGGACCTTGGCTCGGAGCATAGCCGAAAAAATGGAGAACTCTGCATTCGCGTGGGAATGTGTGTGCGTGCGTCTAGCCTAGCTGGAGGGGTCGACTGGGGCGGAAGAACGGCGTTCAACGCGCCATGTACCGGCCGGCGGCGCCCAAAGTGCATCTCCGGCCCCCCGAGCTGTGGGTGCCCTCACGCTGCCCCCTCCTGCTCGCCCTCGATCACCATCACCACCACTACCTCAACCCTCCGCGCCGTCGCCGCACTTTCTTTCTGGAGGCCCTCGGTGGCTCTCGCGTTTTTTGGGGCCGTCCGAGTTTGCACTTTTACGCCCTTGTCTGCCCTTTAGACGGGCTTGCTAAAAGAGCCGATGCACTTTTAGCAAAACGCCCCGCCCACAACCCGGGATCGCTCACCTCAATTTGATCGCTTTTTGATGCTTGGGGAGGAGGTTCTCGAAAACTTTGAAATTTGCTGTAAGTAGGGCGATTAAATAAAAATAGTCCATCCAAAGGTTTGTTTCGGGCAAGTGGCTAAAAGGGTTATAAAAGGCTAACACAAAGAAACTAAACCAAGAAACAGGCCGAGTTCAGGGAGGCCTGAGTGCGAAAAGGCAGACAGAGAAATCTAACAACTTTTCTATAGAGGCGGAAGCAGGAAATTGGCCCTATAGGCGCTGGAATACTGTAGATATCAGGGCCGATTAGGCACAGGTTTCGGCTAAACAAGCACTTGTATTGGATCTGCCAACTCCCTTACAAAAACCAAATCCGCGCGTCTAGCACGTTGTATTAGCTCGACCTCCCCCTCTAGCGTCCAGGGCACTCGCCCTTTTGGGCCCCAAAAAACTCGGCTGCGCTTTTCCCGAAAAAGAACGGCCTCCGCGGGTCCTTCGAAAAGTGCAATAAATCCAAATCTCCAAAGGCGCTGCGCAACCCAGAGCCGAATAGGTTAAGTCAATATGCGTGCGTTCCCTGCGATCAGCGTGGACGTTCAGCTCGGGAAGTAGGCGGCCGAAATGCATGGAAATGATCAGTGCCGTTGCTTACTTTTTGTAACCACTCTACTACTAACTAGAGAGAGAGAGAGAGAGAGAGAGAGAGAGAGAGAGGGAGAGAGGGAGAGAGAGAGAGAGAGAGAGAGAGAGAGAGATGTGAAGCATTGGAAGCGGGACCTACGAGGAAGCCCCAACCGAGCAGACAGACGGGAGTGGCAGGATGGGCGGGAGATTTGAGTACGAGGAAGACAAACTCACTCGCTCCACATGCCCTTTTAGCCCGGAACAGACCAAAATTCCCCGCAGTACTCGAGATCCCCGCATTTGGAAGAGGTGTCGAAAGCAAAGTTGCCGATGTATGCAAGGCCTCCCTGGTTGGCAATTCCTGGAAGAAAGATTATCAGTCGAATCTATATTATGAAAGGGAACTTGAAAGAATTACTAATAGCACACAATTTATGTGCTGCAGTTGCTAGATTCTCAACTAGATATATATGTGAAACGCCGTTAGAACGTCAAACCAAGGTTCAACAAGAGCCCAGAGGCGTGTATTCGGCTGATGCCACCGAATTTCGCCAAGTTATTTTCTCACGGAAGGCTTCTAATGAGCCGCCGTCTGGACTTTTTTAGCGCCCTCTTCCAGCTTTTGCAGAGGATTAGGTGTAGAAATTAATCGGGCAACACAGCAATGAAAGGGCGAAAATCCCTACTTTCCTCCCCATCTAAAGAAACCCTAAATATTGGAGACCAAAAAAATGTGTTCTGGTGCCTTGCATCAAAACTGCCGATTTCTCCGGACTAGTTAATTCAAAATACGGCTCTATGTCCCAAGGATTGGAAAAAAATGGCAGTGGCAGAAAGTGAAACTGCTGGGGAAAGTTGTCTGCGGCAGAAAGTGATCGATGGGCGCGCAATTTGTGAGAAAATCCTGGATAGTACGTGCTTTTCGAGGCTATCTAAACCCATATGGCTGAGAGAACCGGGAGTACCGAGCAAAAAAAGAACAAGACGCAATAAACCAAGTTTATATAAATTTATTTGATAACCTTATCCTCAAAAATTTTACTTATAGCGACAAATATTTCCTTTTTCGAGGTGAATGGGTTGTCGGAGGTCCGAAGTTTTCAACGTACTGCTGGCTAAAGCTAGGTGTTTTAGGAAACGCTGCAAGCGTTCGTGTTCATCAGGAACTGGAGGAGATTCCGCTTCATAGATGAAGGCAAATTTTTTGTCAGAAGCGTTCTGTGCAGGCTGAAAAAAACGATATATTTTATGAAATGAACACCAGATGAGAAACAAAGAAAACCCGGAGATAAACCTCAGATATTTTCCTAATATGCCAGCATTCCACTTAGCATTCTATTCAATTTTCTATTTACTATTTCTATTTCCTAACATTCTATTTTTAGAGTCAAGCACGAAGCAAGAAGGAATGCTATGAAACATCTTCCCAGCTGAAGGTTATTTTACGAACAATGTTTTTCCCCCTATTCAGCCTCACTGCTAACATTCCCATTGCTTACCCTCAAAAATGTAAAATCACCGGCGCTGTTTGGGAGCGGAAGAATACCAAATTCCCCGCGCGCACTGACGAAGCGAGCGAAACATTTCGGGGAAATGAATACAACCCTAGCTATAAAAGCAGGCACCAGCGCCAGTTAGCATCATCGAAGAAATGTTTTCCAAACTGACTACTGTATTCCTCCTTCTGGCTGCTGTGGCCGCGATTGGCAGTGCTACTCCGGACAGTTATGCAGCTTATAGGCCGCTGCCAGGCGGTACGCACCCGCCACTATACGTTTCAACCTCTTTTTTAGGTTCGACGGTAGACCCACCCGGGACCATCGGAACTGGATACGTCATTTCCACAACGCCCACGTCCGCGCCTACTACCACGGGGCCAACTTCCGGCGCAACCACCGTTCTCAGCGGCTTGCTCACTGCCGCAGTGGCCGGAAGACTGCTAATCTAACATGGAGGCAAGACCCAAAACCATTTGTGATCCCGAATAAAATTCTGGCCGCTGATAAAAACTTCACCAAGTAGAGCTCTACTGCCACTAGACACGCTAAATATATTGGTTCAGGCAAATGAAAAAATTTATTCGCAGACGTGGAATGAGATATCAAAATTAATATGAGTGGAGATACAAATGCCAAGGTAAAGGCTTGCGTTAAATTAAAATCGGGCAAACAGACTTTGATGAGCACACAAAATTGAGGAGTAACCGTAATAATTGGATTGGGATGATAATTTTTAATTAAGAAAAGCGGGCCAAGGGATCGGTGCAGAGCGCATTTGGGATAGGGGATCTGGTACTTAGCTTTTCAAAATTGAATTCAAGCGGCACGCTGAAGCGCTCATTGGCCTCCTTGTAGAAGTCGTTGGTCGGGGAACTATAAAAATTACTATTAAATAAAAATAACCAAATTGAATGTTACTTCGACTGCAGCGTGTGATTAGAAGCGAGGTCCGCGAGGGCCTGCGCAAATTCGTCGATGTCTTCACACTCGACTAGGTGCTCCCTAAATTTCATTTACTCAATGCGAAGAAATTAACCAAAGCAGCGGCTTCAAGGCAAAACCTTCGTCGCATCCGGTGCAGTAGCTCGGCAGCTGGTTTTCATGGCTTTTACGCCTGTAGTGCGCTTCAGCCTCGTCGATTGTTTGGAAGGGCCTGTCGGAACACTCAGCGCACGCATCCTGAAAAGTGGGTAAGTGGGTGGTGATAGTCCCCGAAGCGCCAAAAGCCCGGAAATAATTTGCCGAAGTTTAACAAAACTTACGACGTTAATGCGCACGTGGCCTAATTGTAATAATTTGCATAAGGGAAATCGGTGGCCAGCTTTTCCCTATCAGTCAAGCTTTCCTAGTAATCGAATATAAAGTTTTTTTGATACTATTTATAGTAACTTTTATCTCCAGTTTGAAGTGGAAAATGTTTGTAAAAAAACTTTCAAAAAAATAGATTATACGACCAAAAATATATTTTTTTAATAAATTTCTAAAGTGACTAAAAACAACGTAAACACATCAGCGATATAATTAATAAACTAGGCAAGGCAAAAATAACTTATAGCTCAAATATTACTTCAGCGATGTGGGAGTATCGTGGCGTATACTGCATGACGATTTGTTGGCAAGCGGGCTCCTCGACGGCAAAGTAGACGACCAAAAATAGGCAAAAGCGACGTTCGTGGGCAGCCTAAAAATCGCGCTACAAATTAACTTAAACAAACGATGAAATTTTGGAATTGGTCCTGCTTTGAGAAGGCCGAATAGTCGCCGCATCGTCCGCAAAGAAGAAAGACCTTCGCGGATTTGTAGAGTAGCTAAATCAAAATATTGCTGTAATCATCCAAGATACCGGATTGTCTTCCTGGAAGGTGCGAAAATCTTGGCAATCGTGGGCGTGCAGTTTTTGAGAGCTCAAGCACGCCTCACCGCAAAAATGGCAGCCGTGAAGGTGTAGCGCACGGGTGTGCGGAAACCAATCCTGAAAATTTATTAGGTGAAACAGCAGTAACATCCCGGCTATATGTATGCGTGCGACACCTAAAAAATTTCGAGGCGAATGTTTTTTCAAAGATTTTATATATCGTTCAACTTATAAAAAATTTAAAGAATCAGATTATAAAGCTAATTCAGTCAAAACACCACATGCCCTAAGAACAAAATAAAGTCCAAAAGTTCTACCTTGAACGTGCCTTGTCGAGCAGTTTTGGGCTTTCGGTGATTACGACTTGGCGCTGTCCGCTTTGATCCTAAAGCAGAATTTAGAGTTGATCAGTAGAGCGTCGTTTCTGTGTTCGGTACGTTGTTGATAGTAGTTTTGATAACAATAAAATAGTCTAATTCGATCCAGAAGTATCGCAAACTTGGTCATCAAAACGGCCCGCACAATTCAGGTTAAAAAATACCCCGCGTAATTGCCATCGTGCCCACGTGTAGAGACGCTACCTAAAAACTCAATTTGTGGATTTGGTTTACCGAAAACTCAAAAAAGTCACAGATCAGAACAGTAAAAACGGGGCTGGGGGCCAACCATTGCGAGCTTTGCGCTGTGCCTAAGAAGGCTGTAGAAAGAGTGAAGCACGGAAGGAATTTACCCAGGTTGGCCGGACTCGCCGCTGCCTCCCATGGACTCCCATGGACCTGTACTGGCAAAGCCGGGCGAGTGCGGGCACAGCCTGGGGCGTTCGGCTTGTTGTTGTGGGTTTTTTTGTTTGGCGTTCGGTCGGTTTGGCATTTTTCACAAAACAATAAAAACAAGGTTTTACAAGTCAATGAAACCTCTTTTCGTCATTTCTTTCGGAGACTTTTGTTCAATAATGATAAAAACAGCATCTTGAAGTGAAATTTACTATGTTTGGGGGAATTTGAAACTTTTCGCCGAGCACTTTTCGCGATTTTCGGTCAAAAACCTTGCGTCACTATTTTCTCAACGTTCCGCTTTCTTTTCCACTGTTATCATCTCCGATACCATTTTAAAGCTGTTTTTACAGGCCGACATGACAACAACAACGCCATCGCCGACAAGAAGGACCGATGGATAAAGGTTAATAATCATTTTGTATTCAACTATGCTTTGTTTAGTTGAAGAAGGCAAGGAGAAACGCGACGAGAAGGCGCAAAGCGGACGGAGCGCATGGGTCAGGTTTGCGCATACCGTTTTTAGTACACTATTATTTAGTCGACACGTGACGAACGAGCGAGCCGCGGACCCCCCGAAAAAAGGTATTTAATTGAAAATTCATTTTAGGTACAGCTCCTAACGGACAAGAAGAAGCAGAAAGACGCGCGGCGCATGAAACGGTTGGAAGAACAGATAAGAGACGTCCCGATCCAAAAAGTCAAGATTGATGAGGCGTGTTTTTAAATGTCTGAATTGCCCTCTCAGGAAATAGACGAGCAACGAAGTCACCCTCTTACCTACAGGACGCCCCCTCGAAGAGTTTGGCTATAATTTGATGTTTTCACGGTTTTTAGGATCCTGCACAGGACGAAAATAAGCTACTTGGCGCGCGATGCTTTCGAAAGGAATTCACGGCCAACCTCAACGATCGAAAACTCGGAATGTACGATGAAGACGATGAATACGCTCAAAAAAGGGAGACTCGTCAAAAATCCAGCCACTTTTAGTAAGCGTTTATCAATATTTCTTTAGTTATCTTCTAGGTGGAATCTCTAACTCAAAGGCGGTCTACGAGGCTTGAAAAAGGAGGGCACGCATGAGGCAACAAGGCCATGACGGCTATATTCCACTGGATGACGATCCAAAGATTAGGTACGCAAAGAGACTGATCGACAATAACATTTAATGCGTGGTCAGGCAAAAAGGAACGCACAATCAACTGATTCGTGAGGACGAAAACGATGATTCAGAAGAGGATACGGAAAAGTGAGCGGTTAATCAAAGATATAACTGCCTCCTTAGGTCTAGAGATGTTAAGAATCAATTAACAATCAAGATTATTTGCATACAATGGCACAATATTATTTGATTTGGATGGGGCTGAGCGCATGACCAAGTAAAATAATATTATTTGACTCCGCTCGAGAAAGAGCCAAGTAAGATTACTTGATTTACTTGATTTACTTGATCAAACAATAGCTTTCTGGAATTCTGGCATTTTTCGGATGGTAATGAACCTTATGACATGATCGAATGCTAATTTACTGGGTTCGGCAGATTGCCTGATTTGCATGGCGTTTGCACAAAATCAAGTAATTTCGCTGAAAATCAAGTAATTCTCCCAAATCAATCAAGAGCAAGTAAATCAAGTAATTTTATTTTACTTGATGCTTATTCAAGCAAACGGCGTAAAATAATTTTATATTTACTTGAAGATTTCGGATGCAAATAAAGTTGTTCAAGCAAATTTACTTGGTCATTATATTACTTGATTCGTAACATCTCTACTTAGGTCTACTTATCCCGAGCAGATGCTCTCGAAGAGGATAGAAAGAGCCGCGAGCAACAAACGCGTTTCCTTGAATAAGAGGTATAGTATCTGGCTATTAGATTAAACCCGACATTAAGGAAGCCGAGTGGAAAGAGCGATGAAGAGATGGAGAGATGGGAACAACAACAAATTCTGAAAGCCGTTGGCGCAGCAACGGTAGTATAAGTTTCCAAATAAAATGTTGGTTTTTGTTATAGATCGGTCAAGTGAGGCACGAGTGCTTTAAAGGGTTCGTGAAGAAGATGAGGAACGCTCCCGCCCAATTGAAATGGACGTTGATATGGGCCTCGATGATGTGCACCCCACGCAAAGCATCGAGCCGACGCCTTCAGCCTCCCAAACATCCATGCGGAAAATCATGGAAAAGCTCTCGCTACGGTCGGGAAACGTTATCTCCCTTTACCAAATTTTAGCCTGCGCGATCGTGAAGAGCACCTCAACAGCTTGGGCAATAACGTCGAGAAAATTCAGTCAACTATCGCACCGATAAGGAAAGCATTAGGTAAGGGTTAGGAAATAAGCCAACAATTTTTTTAGGAAGTTGGAATTCGGTGATGGGGCGAAGCCGGGCGCCACAAAGGAGCTGAGCGAGAAGTACAAAATGTATCAAGATATGAAGTACGGGATGAGAGCCGCCGAAAGAGAGGGACACCGATGAGGAATATCCGATAAAAACGGACTATTTGCAATAATGTCGAAATCCATAGGGTCAAAATGTTTGGCATAGTAGTTAAATGATTTTCCGAGCGGTTGGTTCTTGGGAAAAAAAATAGAAATATAGAAATTTCGAGATTGACATTGCGATATTCTTTCAATACCAATCTTAACGGAGATTAGATCAAAATATCCATGTTCTTTATTCTAGATAGCCGCAGAACAAATTCCCCAAGAACACCGACACGTACGAAGGGACTCCGCAAGCAAGTATCGGGAGGTACTCTATTTTTTGAATTCTATAATCCTTATATCCCTTTTTCGAGCCGAAGCTCAACACGGCAAACTCTTCAGGGACAACCGCGAAGAGCTGCAGAGAGCAAGACAAGGATCGACTGCTTTTGGATTTGGTTAGTGGGTACTTTAAATACTTCTCCGGTCGATTTAGTTACGAGCACGAGCTGAAGACGAGCGCGGGGCCGCCCGCCGACAGCACCGCGCAGCAACAACTCCAGTGAAAGAAGCTAAAGCAAGTAAAAGTCTGTATCTATTTTATTAACATTTTTTTGTTGTATTTTTTGATTGTAAACTTTGTATTTTCGGCCTCTATCCGTTGTGATTACTTTGATATGCGTGTTATATGTATGATAAATATGTTATAACCTATTTGCGCCTATTTTGGATCCAAAATGCACCGGAATAGCAAGGAAAACGGGGGTAAAGCGAGGAAAGCCCGGTATGGTTCAGCACCGCCGCAGTACTGCTCAGTCCGGTGCCGGGTTCGTTTAGTACTGGCCAGTGCGGTGCCCGGGCTCGCCCAGGTCATTCCAGTACTGGCCAGTCCGGTGCCCGGGTTCGTCCAGGTTTTGCTACTGCGACCGGGTATTGCCCGGTCGGCCGGATAGATGGTAAAGACCTGGGTGCCGGTCGAAAAGACCTGAGGAAATTCCTTCCGTGAGGAAAGGGTCAAAAGGAAAATAAAGCAAAAGAAGCGAAAAAGTTTCCGCCGAAAACGAAAAACTCGGTCCGAACACTCCAGAGGACACCGCAATACGCGTCATCAGGTGCACAGCGTACAGAAGTGTTTCTTTCGCACTTTTCCCCCGAAATTTGTTTTTGCTATAAAATTATCACTGGAGAAAGATAATAGATCTTTATCTGCCCACACGTATCACATTTTGAAACAAAAATGAAAGGTAATTAGTCCTAGTCTTCATCGAAGAGATCGGTGCGTTGTCGGACGTCCACTTCTGGGTGCCATAGGTCGATGACGAGGACCAATCTGATAAAGAAAAATACAAAATAAAAGCAGTATAAATACTCACCGAAAAGCTGAAGAAGACGCGCCGGCGAAGGAAAGTTCATGTTCAAAAGAGTCGTCAAAGAGAATAAAACGGCCTGTCCGCCAACCACGTCGTTCAGTTCCAACTCTACAATTGTACAATCATTAGAGTAATTAAGGGTCTAAAAGCTTTAAAATTAACTAAGGATTTAGTAAAATTGAAAGTTTTCTTCGCTACCAACCTAATTCTTGCTTCAGATGGCACCACAAGACCGAGATGGGCTTGAAGCTTGCAGTTTGTTGGCCCACAATGCGGCAGAACGCGAGTGCCGGAAGAAAGTACGGAGATTTTCATCTAAATCGGCAATACAGACTTTTTAGAAAGATACCGAAGTTCGGCTTGCATTGCTGGCCTCCCGGAATTCACGTAGAATGGCGCAGGTTTGCGGCACGATTTCGCAATTGTCTTCATCCCAATCCTCGTTTCGAAGCAGCCAAAGTGCACGCCAGTCGCCATCGATGGTGATGGCTTTATTCTCGTGCTAGGAAAGAGTTAAAGTTAGCGTTGTCTTAACAACCAAACCTCAAACTCTTCGATGTGCTCTTCAAGTGCAGCTAAGGCCTCTTTGCGGATCGCAACCCATTGGCGTTCCACAGCCTAAAAAGAGTAGATTGGTTTTAAAAGAAAGCTAACCCGCAGGTGTTTGGTGTATCCAGTTTGTTCCATTGTCCACCAGGGCCGCCCGGTAAGACCTTCGATGTTGTACATGCTGCGTTGGTGCGCGGATAGGAAAAGCCCTAGTTCCGCTCCTTGCTCGTAGACCTATCGAACATTTAATGTGTTGCGTTTAGAGTTACCTTATAGGCATCAGCTGTTCTTCCCAGTAACATCAAGCCATCGCCCAGATGATAGTAGAACCTAGGATGAGGGATTTTATATGTAATAGCGCTAGCATAAGTTTAAAAAAGGCTTAGGACGCATAAAAAGGAAGAGCTTTTCGTAAAGATGTTACTTTGGATCGGTAATCTCGTCTCCGCCCTTCAACAGCCCCTTTCGCATCAACTGGACGCCGCCTTCTAGGTCGCCATCGGCCACCTAAAATATTAATAGATCATTACTGAGTTTTAAAGGGCCCCGGCCCCCGCCCCGGCCCCGGGCCGGGGGGCGGCGGGCGCCGCCGGGCCCGCCCCACCCCCGGCCGATCCCCCCGACGACAATTTTAATTTCTTTTTTTTTTTTTTTTTTGGTTCTTTTTTTTTTATTTTTTTTTTTTTTTTCTTATTTTTTTTTTTTTTTTTTCTTATTTTTTCCAAAAAACCCCTCACAGGCCAAAATAATTTGACCCCCCCCCCCCCCCCCCCCCGCCCCCGCCCGGCCCCGGCCCCGGTCTCCCCGGATTGTCCCCGGCCCGCCCCGCCCCCCCCGGGCCCCCCCCACCCCCCCCGCCCCCCCCCCCCCCCCCCCCACCAAGGCCTTTTTTAAAATACCTTTAGAATATATCCGTAGTACGCCAGGGCGAGAGCGTTGTTGGGATCAGCGTCAAGCACCTAAATTTGGGGACGCTAGGGATACGGAAAACGGCCTACGTTCTTGAATACTTTACGCGCATCGTCATGTCGTTTCATCATCAAAAACGTCAATCCGAAATCGGTCTGAGGGACGATAGATGAATTTTTCCATAAAAAATTCAATACCTGGTGTTTCTTTTCTTCAGGGAAACGATCGATCAGGCTTCGCTGCGCATTTAGGGCGCGATGCATATTCCCCCGGTATCTGGAGCGTTCTATCGCGCGAGAAGCTGCTTGCCTAAAGAGTTAGGTTTATGCCTTGTTTTGTTAAAAATGGAGTGATATACGAGTGGTTCTTCCCGAAAACAAACCTAAATAGTGCGTCTGGGGTATCTTCATTGTCGATGACCTTTTCATAATGTTCCAGGGCTTCATCAACGTCTTCATCATCAGCTTCCATTTCGGCTCTAATTCCATTTTAATGAGGTAAACTTTCAAATTACCGAATATCGAATGCACGCCCCTTTCCAAAGTGCGCTCTTGGAGATTCCGGGTAGGCCTTGAGGACTTGATCAAAGAGTCTGATGGCCGCACCGTATTCGTGCTAAATGTTGCTTTCACTTCATTGATATGACCTATCAATTCCACTGTTAGTTTTCATGCCATGTACGCGACAAGTGGTATAGATCAAACACATTTATTTCCGTGGGCTCAAGCGTCGTCGGGATAAATACACGGCGTAGCGTCGTAAAACATGGAAGCTACATGGGAGACCCGCATTCACAACAATGATCGGTCATGAGGCACTAGTGAAAATCAGAAAAAAAAAATCGTGGGACAAGAACGTTTAGCGGCTGGACCACATGCGAACGAGCAAAAAAAGACTAGGGTGGAGCCGGGGCCCGTGGAGGATTGTCGCGGGGAATGAGAGACGCCTGTTTAAGCTTTAACTTCTTATCAATATTTTGATCGGAAAGTCGCCCTCATACTCCCTACAAAATTACTAAAACTAAAAAATTGAATAACTTTGGTACGATCAGAAGGGGCTGATCTACTTGGCTAGCACCGATACTAGCTGACAAAGAATTTAAGCGCATTAATAAAGAGTTTCACAGATCCTCCCGGTTCCTCCGCCTGTGCCTCCTGACCTTCTCGACGAGGTGGTCAGCCCGATCCAACGTCTCGTGGTGCTTGTGATCATCACGATTGGTGATTGCGTGCCGCTTGTAGGCTTCTCGGCCCGTAGATCTGTAGCAACATAGTCAGATAACTTCAAAATATTTCTGACCTGTATTTTTTGATGGCAATAACTTCCGCATACTCGGGGGTGTCCTCTTCGGCGTCATCTTCCTCCTCATCATCCTCTTCATCTAGGATTAATGATTTCTTAAGACAAAATTATACATTTTTACCTTCTACTTTGCCCTGTTCAGGCTCCTGCTCATCTTCGACGTAATATTGATAGCGTTTCCCCGAGCTTGACACCGCCTACAACTTTGTAATCCGATATGTAATTCTTTGATACCTTGCTCTTCAACAACCCTCTCCTCGGCTCAATCCCGAAATCGGTGGGGCAATGCTTCCGCATGCATGGCCGTTTTGGGGCATCGTCTGTGATGTGGGCTGTTTTCAGCTTCTAGAGCCAGAGTTTAACGGAGATTTTGGCTCACCAGTCCCCTCGGTTCCTCGATGACGCCTCTGGACCGCTTGAACTTTGAGATCTGTTCCTGCTTTGGCTCGTCGTCATCATCCTTCTCCTTCTTTTTCTCATCCTCCTCCTCCTCCGGTTCAGGCTCAGGTTCGGGCTCAGGCTCGGGTTCGGTCTCCTATACGCAATGTAAAAAATTGATTATTATTACCTTAGGCTTTGGCTTTTCCTTCTTGGGAGCAGGTTTCTCATCTTCATCGTCCTCATCATCATCATTATCAGCTTCATCCTGAAAACGGTATAAATAGGAAAGAAGGGTAATTCTACCTCATCGTCCTCATCATCATCATCGTCATCGTCATCATGTTTCTTATCCTTCTTTTCTACTTCAACCTCAACGATCACAAGCTCCTCCCGCTTTGTTTTAGGGTTCCATCGCAGTTGCCGGATCTTTTTGGTGTCATTCTGAAACGTTCTTAGCGTTGAATACGTCATGCAAGTCAAGCTGCAACGCTGTCCTTGAAAAATAGTCACAGAACATTCATTAAATTCTGATATTACAAAGTATTCGGTGCCCACTGACCTCATCATCATCCTCATCGTGATCATCATCATCGTCGTCATCCTCTTCTTGCACCGGCTTCTTTTCCGGTTGCCTGTGCCGTCTCGCTGGTTTTTCCGCCTTCGGTGGTTCCTGAAGTTTTTTTAGAAATCTAGATTTTCGTTAGAATTGCGCACCTCTTCCTCCTCCTCGTCTTTCTCTCCTTTCTGCTCTACTCGATCCCTCCTATTCTTTCGTCGTTCCCTTCTTGTCGGGACGGGCTGGACCATCTCTTCATCTTCGTCATTCTCCCTTTGGCCCGTTTGACTGAAAGCTTGTTTTGGCGGGAATTCTAGGAACGACGATGACGTTTGAGTTTTGTGCTCGTTGCCGGGTCCAGTTTTGGAAGATGATGGAACCTACTGTTTCACAAAGTTTTTGAACTTTTGCATCTTGGCGCGAAGGCCAGCGAAGAGCTTATCCTCCAACGTCGTTTCCAAATACGCATCGTCGTCATCAGCTATAGAAAAAAATAGCGAAATTAGTTATTTCAGTTTACCTGTCTTCAACTCCTCTTTTGGTACCTTGATGTCATTACGTTTATCATGCCCACCGTGGTCATCGTGTGTCGGCAATGTGTCCTATGAAAATTGTCGAATTTCTAAATATCCTACTTTTAATGTATGCCGCTGCTGCGTGGCCACCTCATCTACGTCATCGTCCACTTCATTGTCTAGATCTACATCGCCATCGCCGTCAAAATCTGAAGTATGGAGGTTTTGCTATCATAAGTGGATGCAGAAGCAAACCCAACCAAAACGGCTGGGGGCTCCGACGTCAAGAAAGAGATTACTTACCTACACCAAGTTCTGCGATTTCTTTTGCGGAGAAAACGGTGTAGAGACTGGAGCAAAGGAATATAAAGACGAATAGGACGGCCCAGGTTCTTGCGCCACCCTAAAGAAAACACATTATGACCCCGAGGGATACAAGGTTTCATTCGGCTAAAAATCCAAGGCCCACCCTACCTTCGTTACACTATAATCGACCCGTTGGTGCGGCAAGGCAACGGTCATCGGATGCCCACCGGCTACTAAAAATAGGTTAAAGTATTGGCTATGAAGGGGAATGTTAATTTTATCTCTAATCTTAGACTCACTACTACTCCCACCACTCGAATAATAACAAAGTGGACAGTAATACATCGAAGCCGTCATCCCCTTCGAGTTTTTCGTGCTCGAATTTAGAGGGAACAATTCGAAAATTCAAGGCGAGCTATCAGAAAACCGAGGGTGGGGATCGCGGGTGGGGATCTGGGCCCCCGACTGGGCTGTTGGCTTCTCTGGCTTTACCTCAACCCCCCACACAGCCGACTCATTTTTCACAAGAATAAATATTTGCCCCGCTAGGACCGAGACGCGCATTTTGACACGTCAACGTGGCTTTGATGCTGTTTAGCAGTGAAATGAGCCGCAGAAGATTTTCACAGAGTACATTGGTAGCATTAAGCGATTACGAAAGTGATAATTAGATATGTGATAAAATGGTTGATACGATAAAAATAGTTTGAATATGGTTTTTTTTTGAGCTATAAAAGACTCTTGGTATCTTTTCGAAACATATAGAATAGAAATTCCAAAATAGCAAAGTATAGAAATTATTAAAATTTTTTGCGATCTAGCGAATGGCATTTGCGAAACCCCGCAATGGTTTAAAATATTGAAACGATCTAGTGCACCACCCCCAATACCTAATTTGTGCTTTTAATTTATAAAAAATACACTCTGTAAGCCCTGAACCACGCGTTGAACATTAAAACCCGCATTCCTTACGAATTTCTATCCAAATATACCCACCTGAAGAGCCCTGCCGCCTAAAGGGCGGCCGCGGAGATGACATTCCGTTTACAGGGGTTCCGCTCGGCTTCTGCGACATGTAGGCATCGAATAATCAATGGCAAATTGGATAAGGCGAGGATGAGATGCCGGGGAAAATGGCTGGGGACCTGGGCCAACTGTCCCTATCTTCACTTTCCTTGGTCGACCACCGCCTTCCGGGCAACCCCCACCAGTCGATCTGCAAAAAGGCCGATATTGACAAGCTGCAGGGCGGAAAGAAGGTATTGCCGGAACTTTTGCGGGTTTTGAGCTCATTAGTTTTTTGCTATCACGTGCTAATTAATCTCAATTTGCTTCAATTGCTTGAAATTTTTTGATGTTTTTTGCCTAGAGGACTCTTACATGTTGTGCTTTAATTTTTTTAGGCATCACCGGGTTTCAGACCCACTGTTTTGAGCGGGTTTTTAGAATTAAATTGATCTTACAATGATTAACAAGAGAATTGGTGCAAATCTCACCTCAACACCTCGTAATCCAAACAGTCTCGCAGAGGATTCGCACAACAATCGTTCGCTGGAATATGGCGAACTTATTAGGCAACCAAACGATCCGCGAGAAGGAGCACGGGGGTGGATCAAGCAGAGGGTGCACAGGGGAGTGATTTGCGCAAAAAATCATGGGGCCTACACTTGATAGGTTGAGTGGATAAACACTGGTCAACAGAGCATCACACGCGAGGTGAGGGGGGTTACGCTGATGATTTTTCAAGGTTTTTTTGTCAAATTTGAAAATCCAAATGTGGTCGGATATTTAAAACGAGTTTTTTTATTTATCAACCACAATTCTAAGCTAGCAAAATCGTAAATTAATGGTCAAACATGGCCCTGCGAACGTTGCGTAACAAGGGGTCGTCGTTGATGATTTTGCAGGACTGTTTTTCGTAGAGCTTCATGAATAATCAGAGTATTTTAAAAAACATGGCTATAGATCTCCGCCCAAAAGGTTAACAACTAGATAAAATCGTAAAATATCGATTAAGCCAGCCTTAAACTATGCGCCGCGAACGTTGCATACCCGAAACCGCAGACCCAACACGAAAAGCTCATAGCCAGGATCGGTCTGGGGCTCCCCCCTCTGAGCTGACGCTCGCTATGAGGTGGTAAAGGGAGAGCGAGCAGCGGGGAGACTGAGGGAAGCAGAGTGAGCAACAGCCTTACACAACAAACGACGGCCCAGCCATGAGCCCATAGCCCAAGGCGGTATAAGAGAAAGCTGAGGGCTAGAGAGACTCTGACTTTCCACTGCAATACACAACACATTCATCGCCGCCGGACTCGACATTCACACAACCTTAGCGAAGTGAGCTCGGGGTCACGGCCTAGGGTTAAAATGTAATAGCTTTTCTTGGGCTCAGGGATAGGTTTAGGCTTAGGCTTAGGTTTAGCTCTGTCGTTTAAACGAAGCTGCTTAGGAAAGTCTTCCCCTTTTTGAAAAACCGTATTACCTCGACTAGTCTTTCTTTAATCTATACCGAAAAAACATATTTTCCGGAAGCGTAGGAGGCCCCGAACAAAATGGCAGAACGGCTCAGCCTAGCCGTTGCTTTTCCAGCCCCATAACTCTCCGGTTTCAGCTTCCTTTTTCTTCCTTTCCCCTTCTTTTTACTCCCCTCCGGTCTGTTCCTGCCAAAAGTCGAACCCCGGTCTTTTCAGCAAAATCACTTAAAGCTTTATTGCACCAAATTACGAAAATGATACAAGACATGTTGTGCGTTTCTGCAGAAAATGCTGATAGTTTTGACGGGAGAAGGAGGAGGAGGAGGACCTTGTGGAATGCTGTGTACGCACGGCGGTGACACATAATTTGATTGGAATGGCTTGGAAAAGGGAGATTTTTCGGAAAGTTGTATAAATTAAAGGCATTTGGGTGGGGAAGCTGAATAAGGCAAGAATGGTCGCTAGATCGGGGGTTTTAGATTTGGTTCATAGCACGTAGCTGCTCATTCGCACCAGTTGGTGCGCAGCTGGCGAGTTGGGCGGTTGGCGCCGACGCCATATTCTGAAAATCAGCATTTTATTGCAGATCTTACAGTTTTAGTATGTTTGCGACAACCTACCGGTCTTATAATTCTTGTCCTTGCCACCGTTGCCCTTGCCCAGCTCGGCGGGGTTGTTCCACATCCCGATCAACGACTTGACGGTGCCAGCTGCAAGTTCTTAGGGGTTAGAGTTAATATTTAGGGTCATACTCTTGATCTCCTTCTCCCCCTGGTCCTCCTTGGGAGCCGGCTTGGCCTCCTCAAACTTGAAGTCGGTGATGACTTTCTGGAAACAGGAATTTGATTGCGTAATTCGGTCTCACGCGTCCGCGAGGCGGGCTGGGGGTCTTGTTCTCATTGCTCGGCTCGATTTCGACGGTTCGCTAAAATGGTGGATTTTTGAGGAGTGTGAGATTAAGCTAAACCTTTCTGTTCTACTTATCATTTAAGGCGCGTTATGTATGCAAAAAAAGCTTCAGATGCTCCTAAAATACCTGCAAATTCATCGTAATCCCAATATTGCACATGGAATGAAAAGGGAAATCGGATTTGAGCGCGAGGAAATGATGAATGTGTTTTGTTTTGTAATGTCTGCCCGCCCCCAATATCTTAGCCATACGCCTTTTTCCGGCGTATCCAGGCTTATTACTTTTCTGGTTACCTGGAAGTCCTCTTGCGGGAGCTGGGGCTCAGGCTCAACGATCGTCTCGTGCTGGGGCTCAGGCTGCTCGTAGTGCTCGTGGTGGTATTCCTAAGTTTGTTGGTGATTGCTCAGCCTAATTTTCTTTCCTAGTTCTTATTCTGAGCTCATCGTTTGCCAAAAGCTTACCTCGTGCTGCTCCTGAGCCGGCGACTCGTTCAGCTCAACAATCACCTCCGAGGAGTCGTATCCGTCATGCTATAAAAACACCATTAGCTCTGTATTTCCGTTAAACTATCTTAAGAAAAAACCCGTGTGCCCGCTTGTTAGCAGAAACCGTTTGTGCAAAAAAAAAATAAAAACCTCAAAATGCTTGACTTCATCTGGGGTCTCCTCGCCCTCAGCTCGGGGAGCCGCAGCGAAGGCGGGCGGCTGCGCGACCTTGTGCTAAAGGCGATAGAGGTGAGCAACTTAAAAATAGAGGTGCAAATATGTAAAAAAGATTAAACTCGTTTATTATACCTGGAATTCGTCGAGCTCGGCCTCCTGGATCACCTCGGGCTCGTAGCTGTGTTCGACAATTTGCTCTGAAAAGGTTTGAAGCTTAAGATTATTTTTTGCTTAAATAAAGACCGTTGTTTCTTGGAAGCTAAAGAATTTTAAAATATTCAATTGAAAAGACGGAAGTCGGGAAATTGGGTAAAACTGGTATATCCTTACCATTCCTGCGGTGCCCATCGTAGTCCAGCTCGCTAGGCTCGTCGTAGCCGCTCATATTTGCTAAAATACGTTAGTAAAAAGCACTAATCGATAAAGCCCGTCTTAGAACACGTCTCATAAACAAATTCCTAATGGACAAAAAGGCAAGGCGGATGAATCATCGGGGACCGGAATAGCGCTTCCGAAAACCAACCGCCTTCCGAAACGGCAATTTTCCGCTTAGGAAACAATGATTGGGTGGATCGATTCCGGGAAACGCCGCGAGAGAATAAAGACAAAATAACGAGTGTTTTACAGGGAGAAACACGGGAATCGACAGGCCGAAGGGACTAGAAAAATGGCATTGGCCGGCGGGGGGAACGTATCGCGAAATGCGAGCCGATAGCCCTGGGGCTGGTTCTTGAAAGAAAAATTAGGTGGGTGGCCAGGGGGATAATTGTGTGCAAATAGTTTTGCCCGGAATTGGGGATAGGGTAATGTCTAGTGGTACAGATACCTTACAACATTACAATTCTAAATTTTTAATGGAACTTAGGCGCGGTTTCCAAGTTATCTGTCAGAAATTAGCTAGTTTGTCTTATTTCTATTTTCTATATTCATCTTTTCTGTTTTTTTTTGGCGTCGCAGTTTTATAGATATTTTCCAAAATGGTTGCTAGATGGCTTCATCATAAAAAATTTACAATTTTTCTCCTCAAATGACCCGGCGTTGCCCTCGAGGCTTTGTGAGGCGACTGAAAATCAGATTAATTCTGCTGTGATTTTTAAAAATTAGCTTAAAAAATGTCACACAACTAAAAACTCGATAGCAATTAAAACAAAAACAACACGGCAATGCAAACGGCATATGACTGCCCCGGCAATCGGGATTCTAGCGGAAATCCATAGTCACTTGGTGAGTCAGGAGCGCGCGCCGGGGGAAGAGGGCCAAAAAAGGGACCTCCCGGGGGCAGCGGGATGTATTTTTTGCGTTGCGAAATGTCTCTTTCTTACGGGTTGTTTTCGATTAGTCAACGGGATTGTTGGGGTTGTCTCTAAATAGATTCTTGGCTGAGCCAGAGTCTGAGCCAGCCAGATTAGAAATGAGTCATGATATCGACAGGAACAGCAAGATTAATTTTTTTGTTCAAGGTTCGTATATTTTGCAAGAATATTACCAAAAATAACTTTTGGTGGCATCCTAAAACTAAATAAGCTCCGAGAATCTGACCTCTATGCCAAAATCTAAACACATATCGCCGACCCCAGCTGGGGTACAGATTGGTCGGCTAGAATCTGGCAAAAGATCTTCGCCCAAACGGAGTGTCATATGGGCCCTGGCCTAGGCTCAGGCCCCGAAAATGGAGTGTTCTAGGGTTCCCGGGGAAATGTTGGTGAGTGTATCGATCCTTCCGGGACCTCTTCCTCCCCGTGGTGGGCACCATTTCCCCCTAAATGGACAAACGACCGGGGGCTTCCATGGAGGCTATCGGTTGGTGGGCCCTAAGGGCTACGGCAGGGTCCCAGGGGTAGTTTCCGGGAGTTTCAATGATTGCTGGGAATCTTAGAGGGCGTTCCAGAAATTGTTGGCATGCTTTAAAATATGCTAATTCATACAATTTTTAGCCTAAGAATCGGATTGGTGTTCGTGGGACCTGGAATTTACTACAGCGCTTATATTTCGACCCCATTTCGTGTCCAAACCCACCACTCTGGGTCAATTCTCGGCCTGACAAATGGGAGGAATCATTAAAGGATTTGGGGTGCCGGGTGCCCCTAGCCGGGAGGCGTTCCGTGCCAAGGCCAAATTGCCTTTTTGGCCAATATTCGATTCCCTGCTAAGCCAAGGCTATAAATAAACACAATTCGATAAATCTCGGAAATACGGCAAAGACGGGCAATAAAACAGTTTATAAATAGTTTATACATAAACCATAATGTCAACCCACGAGTTTTTAGAAAAAAAAATCATGTTGAGCTAGACTACAACCACAACCCGAATTCCCCCAGTAAAACGAGCCGTACCCCCATCGGCTGCAGCTATTCACCAGAAAAGAAGTAGGCTAATGGGGTGTGAATAAATGCAGAATTGGTGGCACACAGCCTGGGGGGAGCCCCGGAATAAACATACCCTACCAGCCAGCTGGAACCCCTCTCTCCCCATAGCTAGTCGGCCTCTTCCTGCAACATGCCGCCCCCCGAATGGCTTCATTTGCATGGGGTGCGCGAGGAGAGAGAGAGAGAGAGAGAGAGAGAGAGAGACGACCGACAAGCCAAAAGTGGTGATGTGTCCGGATTACTGCCAGGATTACGGAGCTGCCCCCGGGAGGGGAACGGATCCTCGCCCGGGTTGCCGCCCTGCTGGATGAAAAGCCGATATATGGAATGCCGTCCTGGCCGCGCACGCTGCGGGCCAATCCTCCGCCACATTATTACTTTATGGGGTGTTGAAATAACACGATCCACATGGATGTATAAATGAGGTTGTTTTTATTTCACGCCGATAATTTCTAGGCGAAAACGGCAGGTTCACAATGTTTTAGGGATCCATGAAAAAAGCAAAAGATATAAAAATTAATTGTCTTTAGCAGTTATTCTCTAAGAATCGCTGCTAGTTTGCCCATATCTTCAAAAATAAAAACAGGAAAATAAAAACGAACTATCTTATAACTCGTGATCGTGGTCAAACGGCCAAATAAATTAACTGACTGTAAATGAAAAAGCAAGGAAGGACAAGAAAGTTGCGACCGCGATTCCCCAAGAATCCTTGCTAGCTTCTCCCTAATAACGGGTATCCCCTAAAGAGCTCTGCTAGTTTTCCCCCCATAGCCATGTTTCCTTAAAAATCTCTGCTACCTGTTCCTTAACAGTCTAGTATTGCCCCGGGAAACCTAAAGCTCTAGAAAACGTCCAAATCTTCACGAAAATAGATCGTAAATTTCGGCCCCGAAAGACCCAATTGAGACTTGTCAAGAGAATTGGGGGAAACCAAGGTGGGCATTTAGCAGAGGCGGGTGAGTGAGGTAGCAGCGGTAGAAACCTGGCCAGAATGTCCTTGATGGGCCTTGCTGTGCCCCGTTCGTTCCAATTCACTCCGCCCGGCCCGTCCGCCCGAACCAACCAACCCAACCACAACAAACAGCAGGGGGCTCTTTTGACTATCCGGCCACAAAACCTGGCCCGGTTCGCACCTCAGCCCCATTCGCACTTCCCCACCCCAACAGTCCATTTTGCTATTCTGGTTGCCGGCGATCTTCGAGCGGATCGCCGCAATTTTCGAACGAGTTTCGCGGCGAGTAGTTAGGGGATGGCAAAGTGCTGTGGAAACCGCTATTTGCATGTGGAAACGAGGAGGAAATTGAGGGAAGAAGAGATTGCGTGCAAAACAAAAATAAATTTTATTTTTCACGAATTCGGTCGTCTAAAACAGAAATTCTGATGCTCTGATGCCCTAATTTTAACCGAAATGAAATTCTAAAACAGATTCGGAATTCTGAATCTTTTCAGCTGAAGCAGAGCTCAAAAATTCCAAAGAAACCATGTTTATAAAGATGTCTAACACCCATAAACCCGCTAAAATCGTCTTCCTCGCTTCGACATGGTTTATTTAGTCTGTTTGCCCTGAATCATACCACCGAAACGATCACATCAAGAAGTGATGGGGTTTCAAGTCGACGAAAAAGCCTCTAGAAATAAGATTTCTTGGACCCAAACAAGTACTGTTCAAGCCAAAATGCGGGAGCTACTCGCTTCAGCTAATGCCCGATCCCAGGTCGTAACTGATAAGCTGGGCGTGTGAATGTAAATAGGGTATGCGCTGGAATTTGTTGGCAATTTGAAGAGGTCGAGATCCGTATAATATTCTAATTTGAACGTAAACCTTATTGTTAAGGTAAGAGGGCAGCTTACCGCCGGTTCGAACTTGTGTATCTCGGCTTCCCGATGCCATAGAAGCGCGTAAAGTATACCAAAATGTTCGTCTTTTTTGGCGCGTATTTTGATATACTTAACGTACCGATAGCGCAGTAGCAAGTCAAGATACAGTCATGGGGCGCCGGCGGGATGCAGGACGGCACAACTGTCAACTTTAAGATTAGCAATCAAAAAAAGAAAATTGAGAAAAACCAGACAATTCAAAATTAAAAATCAACACGCATCACATAAAACCAGCAATACCCCTTCCGGAAATCAGCCTCACGACCCGAACCGCCGACGTCAACGCCAAGCGACGCCGGGTGGTAACTGTGGGTGGAGTGGGAGAAGAAGCCGGCGGTGGTGGTTGTGGTTGTGGTACTGCTGGTAATGGGGATTCTTGGAGGTGCAGGAGAAGTATGAGGTAGAGGAGCCACTAGAACCTCCTTTCCCCCAGGTTCCCGGTCTAGACGCCGAGCTCGCAAAAAAACCATAATATTCCGCTGTGCTACGACACTGTACACGAGAGGTTGGAGTATTGGGAGTCGGGGGTTTTACGATGGGTTTGCCCTGGCGGGGATGGATACCCGTGAATGGTTGGGGTATGTGTGCTGATGGTATCGTCTTGTCAGATATTCCTGTATTGAGAACTGTGCACTTCATAATGCCGAAATTCATACTTTCGAAATGTTCAGAAAGTCTAAATTTTATAATGTGGGAATTCAAAATTTCCCAATTTCACAAAGTCGAGATGTCAGAATTTTGAAGTTTACAAAAAAATCCCCCTGTAAAACCCTCAAAAACCATAGAAAAAAAATACTGACACGTTTAAGTTTCGACATTATGAATTTAGACGTATTCAAATGTCAACATTTCGACATTACGATGAAAAACTGGGCGAAAGAGCTATCTTTAACCCTGGAAAAATTTTAAAATATACTTTGAAATTAGCGAGCCAGATTTTTTTGCTACAAACCACAACAAAAAAACACCAGACAACATTGCCTCCTACCAGCGCCATGCGCCTCGACACACTTGGCACAGTGCGCTAAATTGTGCCCATTCTGGCAGCAATGGGTTGGTGGTGGTGAGGGTGGTGTAGCGGGGCCTGGATATGGTATGGGATCGGGACATGAGAATGGCGAATGGCAATGACTCACTGTCGCTTACACGACGCAGATAGAGCACAGGTGTTTCCTCGGAAGAAGACATTCCACAGATTGAAGGCAAGATTAGTGCAGTGGCTGCTCGGTACGGTAGGAATTTTAGAGATCAAAAGCTGAAGAGCAAAAATCGGAACCGAAATTAGTCAGAAGTTGACGATCTTCCTTTTTTTTCTGCTAATGCTTTTTAATTCCATAAAAAGGTGCCTTGGATATATGTATATTAAGAAAAACATGAAAGTCCGGGAAAGTCCGCTAAGAAGCCCAGGAAGCCACACGGCCTGATAATTCAGCTAATTCATAAAAAAGCAGCTAACGTTTTGCGTAGCGTTTCAAATGCAAATTGCGTGTTTTATTTTGTCCTCGTTTCCCAGGGCATGCTTTAAATATTCGTGCAAAAGTGAAGCCATGATGGGAGCGCGTAACCAAAATTGAAAGAAGTTTTGATATCGTACTCTGTACTAAAAACGTCACAAACGCGTTACTACGTATTTTGTAATCTAAATTTAAATCGAAAATATCCAAAAACCTGCAAAAAACACGTGCACAGAAAATCTAGAGCTCCACAGTCAAAGAACGCGATAAAAACGTCCCTGCTGACGATTCAGGCGGAAAAGAGCGGAGGGCGCAATGAATAGGTGTGGAGGATTTGGGTCGGTGTCGCCTCGATTGAGGCTCAAAGCATCGCGGGGAGCATGAGTCCTTGACTCCACACAACGTTCCCCAGCTCCGAACAGATTTCCGACCCCGAAAAAACAGCGGCTAATAACTCAACCTGTCGACGTGGCGCACCTGGGAGGACAAAGAGCGGAGGCGATTTATCCTAATTTGGGTGAGTGGAGTCTTTGTGCGTCGGCCCAAGCGTAAGCGCAAGCCTAAGCCTAAGCCTAAGCCTAAGCCTAAGCCTAAGCCTAAGCCTAAGCCTAAGCCTAAGCCGAAGCCTAAGCCTAAGCCTATGCCTAAGCCTAAGCCTAGTCCAATCCTATAGAAACCAACACTAAGAATCAAAAAATTTATGTCGCCATCACGTTTTACTTCCCCGACCCGCAAAATCGAATCCTCGCGCTCGGAAAAAACCGTGTCCTGCCATATGCATTTGGAATTGTGTGGGGCGCATAAACGATGAGCTTTTCAGAGTGAGGGGTTTTATGGGCAGCTCACCAGATATTTTCAGTTTGTTTATTCAATTGAAAATTGACTCGGAAAAATAAAATCAACATAAAGTTAAGTGAAAGGCTTGGAACACGCAGAGAAATGAGAAAATTCAGGTAAGGAAACATAGGGCCTCTTGGAGGGAGCTGGAAGGGAGGATTTGTTGGAAAACGGTTCATCTGAATATTCCTTGCCTTCCAGGTTCCTTTAAAGTCAAAGCTTTCTAGAGTTCATTGCGACTAAAGCATTGCCCCGAACTGCTTATCATCTAGAAGACAAAATCGTTGAGAAGACAAAATGTCGGGCGCGGCAAGAGGGATGGAATGGATTGGGGAGGGAAGGGATGGGTTGTTGTGAGTCACGTATTTTGTTTCTGCCTCTTTTCGACACGGCTCTATATTTTGAGACCAAACGGGAGGGGCACGAGAGGAGGGCTTGGTATAGAATGTATCACAAGACATCGGCCGGAAACTCTTGAAGTCATTTGATTTAAACAGGGGGAATCGAAATTGACGACGGAAACTGACGAGCAGTCGGAAGGTCGAAATCGAAGGGTTACAACTTTAACGGAACAATGAAGACAATTTCGACAGATAAAATCCCGACAGTAAAAATCCCGAAATACAAAATGGCTTCTAAAAATCGGCATTCCAAGTTGCGTAGAAGAATATCAAGATTGTCAGATTATGACTGTCGGCATTATAACTCTCAGAATTTTCGCTGTCGGTATTAATTCCATAATTTATGAAAATTGCGGATAAAACACAATAATATCGCAAATATTTTTATATTAACGAAATCTCATCGAAATGTCCCCTCGCCGCGGCCGAGGTGATGCACGTAGGGTCGCGGGTGAGAGCGTAGTGTGTAGGAGTCGACGGGATACGCAGTGGGGTATGAGCTAAACTGCGACTTTTTATAAACCTTTAACGCATTACCTTGGTGCTGGACAAAGTGTCGTACTGGCATAACTTGATGCCGTGTAGAGATCGAAGGAATCCTGGAAAACATTTTTTTTTTAGTTGCCATTCCTTGTTTTTTACGTCTACTGAACTTTCCGCTCTTCTCCTAAAAACAAACCTTGTCAGCCCTCCGTTTCCTCATCCAAATGACGAGGATGACGGTGGTGAGCGCGACACAGATGACACTCAACACAGCAATCACCGTCAACATCGTCGTGTTGGCCGAGTAGGGAGACATTTGGCATTCGGCTTCTTCCTCTTCAGCTGCTTTTTGGTTGAGAGCGGTCACTAAAAACTCCTAGGCTCACAAAAGGTTAGTCTCCTGACCTTGACGAGCCTGTTGGCCATCCAAAATTGTGATCTGATTTTTGAGGTGAAGCTCTCCGAATTTCTAAAGGTAGCAAAGCTTTCTCCGTTTTGTTCCGAGACTCACATCATACTCATTTGTCGTAGCGCTTCGCTTGTGGCGGTAGCGTAGCCTTTCAGCCGTCAAACTCGAGTTCATCACCTTTGTGAAGCACGGCTAAAAATTTAAAAGTGACAGCTCGATAATTGGGATTTACCATTAAACATTCCGAGGCTTCCAAGCAGACTTGAACTGTACAATGCGCAAATACGGTCGATTGATTGCCAAATCGGAAAGTTTTGAACTTCGAGAAGTACACTTCTTGATTGACATTTTGGAGTGGATCGATTAGCTCGTTTGTTCCTTCGACGGGACATCTAAAACTTACTTACATTTCCTAAAAAAGAGCCGACCCATCATTCACAAATGTGAAGTGCTTAGCATCAGGGGATTCGGTATCTTCCCGATCAGCGAATCGACATTCACGTGGAGCAATTCCTCGGTAGGCGCCTAAAAATGGGTTTTTAAAAATTTTAGATACCTTACCATCCGGACTTAACGCTACGTAAAACTCGACGATGTCCCCAAGTTTTGCAGCTCTCAAAGGGTTTCCTCCTTGGCCTCGAAAAAGCATCTCGACCTTGGGCTTGGGTCGGCTTCCGGTGGATTCGACTTGGGTATGGCCACTGAAATTTTTGTGTTTAAATTTTTATACCCTGATTCATATTTTGTTTTTTTGTTAGTTTGTTGAGCTTTATTTTCAGGATTTTGATGAATATATAGGTTACCGTAAAATGTGCTGATCCATCCCAATTTCGCGCGCCCATGCCATAAATTCCCGTTACCCCCCATACACCATTTTCACGATTTTTCATTCCTCGTTCCACCGAACAACTAATTACGAACATAAACCAGGCCAAATTTCCTGAATCGCGTCCCCAGGGTCCCACAGCGCCGGGGAGGCCCTGCGCGCACCCTATTCTAATTCGCAGGTTATCCAACCCCGCAATTATTCAACACCTGGCCCCAGTCTGGCCCCTTTGGGGACAATCGATGCTAGATTGGATAAATACACGGAATCGCTTGGATGAAAGGTATTTAGATTTAGCAATAAGTATTCTAGCTTACCTCGAGACATCATTAAACTTTAGGGTGGCTACAGTTTTCGTGTAGAGACAATATACGTGGTTGATTTTTTGAGAATTCCTGGAGCTAAAATCCTCGATGACGATCGTTGTTTCGGCCGAAATGTGGTTGGGTTCCTGGAAATCAAAAAAAGATACCATTCATTTTTATATTTTTTACCAAATTGACGAGGTTGACGTTGCACTCGGGGCCGTAAGGGATTTGGAGATGAAGATTGAGGCTACCGTTGGCTTTTATCATTGAGCCACATTCTCGAATGTTATCGTGATCGAGAACATAGACGATTGGTCGAGCGTTCGGCTCTGCAAAGTAAAAAAATAGATCCTATCGGTCAGTAAGCACGAAATTTTTAAATGTTGAGTTTCGAATCTTAACCCGGAATAATTCGATTCGTCTAGCCACTGCTTCATAAAGCCACTTACCCATAATCCATTTCGCCAGATCCGGGTCAGACTGATTTAGCACTATCGTAAGTGATGCCGAGCTACAGGACACTTCTTCCACTGAAAAACGTATGCAGCTAAAATTACAGTAAGCAGCTTACCAAAACCATTTGCAATGACATCATTTGCTAAACACAGGAAGCCTCCTATTAATGCGAGTAGGTACCGCATCGCGCCTGTAACGAAAATACAATTCGGGGGTTGGGATTGGTAGAGCATAGATGAGTGTTTTGGCGCGCCGGGTCACCGGAAAACCTTGACAAATGGGGATAATCTCGTTTGGGCGGGTTGGTTAGAGGGCCAGGATTTGCATACAGGAACAGACCGTTTGTGGTGTATTTTATAAAAACGCTGAAAAAATAGATAGCGAGAGAGATCGAGGTATAGAGAGAAAGAGAGAGAGAGAGAGAGAGAGAGAGAGAGAGAAAGAGAAAGAGAAAGAGAGAGAGCGAGAAGAAAACGAGAGCTAGAGATAGATACAGAGCAGTAGAGAGATAAGGACCAACATAAGGTGAGCAAGAAGGAGAGAAATATAAGAGCGAGCGAGAGAAAGAGAGAGAGCGATAGAGAAATCTGCCTACTAAAAATCGTGAATTAACTCAAATTCAAACTGCCATAAATTTAAACGAGAGAAAACAACACCACAAGCAAAAAGTACGATACGATACGCTACGGTAACCACCCGCTCAAAGCCAATCAATCAATGTCGAAAAATGCTGGCCGCCCACCCCGTCTACAAGACAGCCGATGGCACCATACCGAGAGGAAGCGAGGGGCAGGTGAAGCGGAAAAACAAAATGGGCAGAAGAGGGTGGCACCACCTCCACCCCCGCTCCGGGACCCCTGCCACCCTCAGCACGTAATTGGCAGCCCGGACAGGTTAAGGGCCCTCGGGGCATAGAGACTCACACAAGCTCCCAATCCGAACGATATGACCCGGGGTGACTGTCATTACCGGATTCGGGTTAGGCAACCGGGGGCCCTTATTCCGGGATGGATTAGTGGCTGACGTTGCTTAATTGAAACGGTAAGTGTTTTGGGGTAGCGGGGTCATGTTGAGACTACGGTAGTGTATATAGATTTTTCACGAAATTATAGACACTAGAAATAAAACGAAGGTTAACTCAATAGCAACTGTGTCATGGTATCTTAAAGCGGAGAGATACTTCAGCTTCCGAACGGGGCAAACTAGCAGATATCATTAGAGAATAAGGGAAGAAACAGACGTTTTCTCTCCGTCGCTTGCAGCCCCAGGGGTGGCGTACAAAAATGTACATAGATTATGTAGGAAAGAGTAAAAATAAACTCTAGCCGCTCGTAGAAAGCGAGGAAAAGTTAAAAGTTAGTTAAGTAAAGCCAAAGTTACCCGCTAGGCAGGCAAGCAGAGGTCTTTGAAAAAAATGCCCAGGTTGAATCGGAAAGCTGGGATTGCGTATGCTTCATCTAAAAGCCAAATACCCGGAAATCTAACACAAAATATATCGGAAAGGCATTATAAGAATCCTGAAGCCCGCAGACAGTGAGCGGCACTGCCATCCCCGTCCAGGAGGAGGAAGCCGTGTGACAGGTGGGGGGATGGCTGGATAGGGCTTGCACCTGACCCTTACTGCTTCGCCCTCCTCCCACCCATGAAAGGGCCAAAGCCCCACCGCCAAAGCTGTAAACGACGGGGGCCCACCCATAATCATCATCGTACCGCCAAACAAGCACAAGCCCAACGCGCATGCTAATGAGCCAACAAACGCCCATCCGGAGCGGGTTGTTGATTGGGGTTAAAGGGGCGTGTAAGGCCGGTTATGGCGCGCTTCCAGCAATCAACGTCTTAAAGTATACCTTTACACATCTAATGTGTTTTTAAAAAAATCTTATCCAAATCAGAAAAATGTGGCTTTATTCAGCAGCTTAGACGAAGCAACGTTGATTCGGGAGTCCTTGGCAGAGTCGAGCATTTCCCATGCGCACACTTTCGCAGAGGTAGTAAGGGATCTGAAATTAAGCGTGAATAGTTTTATCTTAAAGTTGTGATAAAGTTTTCGAATCGACCCCTTTAGGTCTCAACGGTTAGGCGGCGGGGCATAATATCCAAAACGTGTGGCCGATTATGGCGCTTGCCAGTCTCCAAAATAATCCCACCGTCGGCTGATTCTTATAGCAACTGTGCTGCTTGGCCACTGTTGAACCGCACTGCATATAAGTAGACGTGGCACTGAATGGTTAGCTTTAACTCTGAAAGGTATTTTCCTATACTTACGCGCAGTACATTTGCGTATCAGTAAAGTTGGCGGTGGTCGCCTTCCAGTCGTTGAAGCACTTGACAAAAGGGGCATCTTGGGTAATTTCGTGAATGCATCCGTATTGCGCGACTGCGACTAAAAATTCGAAATCCGCACAGTTTCACCGCCGTTCTTAAAGAATCCATGCTAGCTTGCCCCTAAGAGAAATATCAGTCCCACAGAAAGCTCAGCTAACTGGTATGGAAGAAGCTTACTGTGGAATCCTCCTCCACACGCGTACTCTAGCCGATTCCAGATCTGTACGTAGCTGATCGCATCGTAGTTTGAAATCCCGTATCCAGAAATCGTGTACGGGTTGATGCAGTCGGAATATTTGGCGCCCAGGTAGAATTGGAATTGTTGCCGGTTACTGCAAAGGATTTTGAAGATAATGATGCCACTCACGCGCAAATCTTGATCATATCCTGTCGGAAGATGGCAAAAATAGCATCGTAGAGGGCCGACACATTGGTGTAAGAGAGGTTGGGGTCAATGTTGAGGGCGCGGTTGAAGCGGGCCTGCAAAAAATATGAACCTAAGCCGCAGCTAATTGTAAACCAAAGTCTAAGACCAAGTCTGAGCCTGAGCCTATGTCTAAGCTTATGCTGATGCACAGGCCTAAAGTCGAACATTCTCTACTTCATATTTAGCTGACCTGCTCCGAGTCCAAATCGGTCTTCGAACACTTGAAAAAGTCCTGCGAAACAGCAACCGCGAAAAGATAGAACAAAACTAGAAGCTGTTTCATTTTCCGGGGTACCAAAATCTCCAAACAGGGCCTCGAAGTGGCCGTCGCGGTGGCGGCTTATCACAACCAAATTAATGAAGTGGGAAGTGGCTCTACGCCAGTTAATGGCACCTTTTACGAGCCACGTAACAGAGCAACGCCCTGCTCGTTGTGTCATTTCAAATTTTTTTCCGGTGTGTAGTAGCAGGAGTAAATTTTGGAAATATTGAAGGTAGTGCAGAGCGATAATTTTAAGCGCGATAGCCAAGAAATGCTAACATTACATTCCAAATTTCCGATCCCTGACTTCTCGAATTTCCCCCGGCTGCCAAGAGCACCAGAGTTCTAGGGTATTAGAAGAATGCCTCAGCCGAACCGGCTCTCGCCTCCCGATCCCCGGAAAAGCGCTCCCAACCAGGAAATGCCGACGCCTTTCGACTCGCTCACCGTAAATCAGTAGCAGTTCGAACGGTAAGATCTTTGAAAATCCTCTGATACTTCATAACTTTAACATCGGCCCCTTCTTAACTCTAGTGCTATAAAAACCGGATCGCTTAACGTTTCTCAAACCGTTTTGTAATCAACGTTTTGTAGGATCCGGTAAAAGAATCTTTTCCCTTCTTCTTATGTGCGTAAAACTAAGACTCAAGCACGGTATGTACACACCCTAATAAATCCCCAGCGGACAGAATCATGGAGCGAGGCAAGTCCGGAAATCCCGCCTGAGGCTGGCTGTATCGCTTATCGCTCGCGAGGGCCGATCGGGTTTCTCCATTACGCTCTGCTACAGTCATAATTCTTATAGTACGCGCGCGGAACCAGGCTGGAAGATCGTAAGGCCTTTCGTCCGCTTACCCTACAAAATGCGCTGTTGGATTACATTTAGCAAATCCCCGCGTTTTGTGTCAACCTTAAGCAACTTCGGCTTGGAGCACCAATGTAAGGAAAACCGTCTGCTGCGCCGTGCAACGCGATTTCTCAAAGCGGGCTCGCGGCGGTTGGCGCAAAACCGAAAGACCCGTTTTTGTCTCGGCACGCTGAATCGTGAAAGACCATATGTCCGAAGTAAGCAGCAATCAAAGAATGGTAGCTAGCATTACATAATGAAGAAAAGGAATGGGTTGCCAGCTTATATCTATATAAATACGGGTATGAACATTGAAATCGCAAGATTTTGAAATTGCGAGATTCTGAAATTGCGAGATTGTGAAAGATTCCCATGAATACTGCCTCGCACGGGTTGGACCCCCTTAGCAAGGTACCCCAGATTCCTCGGTTAAGGGGATGACCGTACAAGGCACGCTCGTATCGAATGCCGCTGGAACGGCATGGGCCTATACCCAAGGCGGTGCCACGCTGGATATTGCAATGTACGGTTGCAGCGGGCCTGCGTGCGCAGAGCACCCGGATTTCTGTTAGGGTTCACTGCCACATTTTTCTCGATCGTAATGAATTTACCTAATAATAAAGGGTGCTTTATGAACGCTGAGTAAGTGCACGTTCTTCGAAGGTTTTGGCGTATAGGCCCCTCCCAGATGCGGAGGAAAAACGGAAGTCAGCCAAAAGGCTCCACATTGCTGTAAGCTCAAGCCAAGATCGTACAATCGGAAGCCGGCATCCAGTGCTCCCGGGCGCAGCAATTTGTCAGGAAAACCTCCCAAAATGTGCGACATCTTTGCAAAAAGAGAACACTGGCACTGCTAGGAAGACATAATTTTTCCGATTGTACGGATAAAAGCCCACGGATCTGGATTTCAAGCATATTGTGTCTTACCAAATCGCACGACCACAAGTGATATGCTCGGTGTGCTTCTCTTCAAATTGCTGTTAATTTGTGTTTGCGATGGGTGTATGAGGATGCAGGACTCGAGTGTAATTGACTCTCAAAGCACGATGGAACCAGAAACCAGTATGTTCATTTGATAGCACGCTTCATTCGTCTTTTTGACTCAAATGGAGTGGAAACCACCCGAGAAACTAAACTGCCACTTACAGTCACAACCACCACTTCGACGCGCCCACCCAAAGGTGAACGAACTTTTGTCGCAAGCCAGCTTAGATCATTCAGCGTGTTCAAGGTGTACGAAGCAGATGTTGGTGCAAGTTCCACCGGAGAAAGATCCGCACCCTTTCTCAAAAGGTAGAACATTTTTGGCAGCTCATCGGCTTTAGCTGAGGTTGTTATTGTAAACGGATGTGCTATGTTTGCCTTGGTGTGCACCACTGAAGTACCAGGCTATGAGCCGAGTGTCACTGTGAGTAGTATTTCACCATTCTCTCCGTCCAAATTCCAGCAAAGATGATATAAACATTGCAGCTAAACGATGACCCAACACCTGTTTTTGTGGTCGATGGCACAACGGTGCGCGGCGCTCTCAAATGCAATGCGGACGGAACGGCGTGGACATATACGGGGAAGGGCCAGACCTTGGAGATCACCTCATATGGTTGCAGTGCACCTACGTGCAAGAATGTGCCTGCCGGTTGTCTCAAACGGTAAGAGAAACCGCCACACTACAAGAATCTTATCATTGGAGCTTTAACTATCATGCTGTTTTATTATGTTGTAGTGCTATTCAATTTTACCTCCACCCTTTACTTTACCGGCAAGCTTCAACCCATTTCCCCCGATAGTGCCTTTCTCTTCCGTGCCCCACCTCATTATTCAAACAATATAAATTTTTTAATTTACTTTAAGCCCATATTCCGATTTTTCTAAAGAATATATACTAGATCAAAAGCCTGATCTAACGGTCTATGCCGACGGGTACAGGAAGCACGCAAAAAAGCCAGAGAGGGCGGCGCGCGCTCTTCCCGAAATCGTATCCGCTAATGACGCGATCAACCAGAAACGGGTGGAGGGAGAGCGCGGGGCGGGCAATGGGAGGCGGTATCAGCCGAGACCTCATCGAGGAAGCGCGGTTTTTCATGAAAAACCGGATAAACCTCATTTATGTGTCTGCTCTTTTGAGGGCGATATCGGAAAAACTAAAAAACACGAGGGAGGTATCGGTTAGGTCAGAAGGAATCAGATTGGTCTCAACACTTTAAAAAATCTATATAATTTGTTCTAGAACGTGGGATTAACTAGAAATAAACACTCGTAAATTCAGAGGGTGTGAGTCGATACCTCGCATCACGCAGATGGCGGCGGCTACGCAAAGCGTTTGAAGATTCGGTGCGATGAGCTCAAATTACCTAAAAACGTACTTACAAGGGGACGTTTTTGAGTTTTCTGAGATTTCAATATCTAATCAACCCCGTCTTCTACAGAATTTTGCACTGATTCCGAAATTTTTTACCGAATGTGCGGAAAAGCCAGTTCTCGGAAATTATGAACGCTTTAACCTTGAGCAACGCGGAAAAGGAGCCACTTTCGCAAGCTTCGCGTTAGGGTTGGGGGGGGGGGGACACTGGCTACTGCATCCGGCTGGCCTGCCTTTGGATCAGCGATAAAAAAAAATCCAAAGCTTTTGCTTTCAAGCCCTATAACCATACACACTCTGCAGCCATGCTTTGAGAAAGCCGTGACAGTCTGTGTAATACTCGTCGAAGTTCTAGCGTCGAACCATTGCCAATCCATTTACGACGACGACATCACCACTTACGATCGCACTTCAACCGTATGTGGCGGGAACTAATTTCCAGGCGGATCCGATAGTTCCGGGGTATGCGGGGGAGCTGCTGCTGATGGCTTTAGCCCGCCCACCGGCTTTTCGCGTTTGCCCCAGGCACTCGAAGAAGCCGGGTGGTGCCAATCACTGGCATTCCAAATAGCACACCGTTGACGATCACATTAGTCGGGAAGATGGGAGCGAAAGGCTTGATATTTTTTGTGCTAATATTGTGCTGCGGGATGAATGAGGGCTGCTTGAGAATGCAGGATCCGGGAACGACGACGACCACCACTGCTGCTCCTGGTAAGGTTCTGAGATTATTTGCTAAAAAGTACGTAGAACGTCTATTAGCGTAGGAATCAACATGCACCTTATTTTTGGCTAAAACATTAAAATACTAAACTACAAATTGCCTTGCAAATGACTGAACGGCCGCAGATAAATGCGAGAAAATCCGTCAAAAAATGTGCAGCCACTGTCGCGCCTATAAATGTCTAATTTCAAGCTCTAACTGTTTTAGGCACAACGACAACCAGTACTGCAGGTATAAACTTTTATAACCCTAACCTTTTCTACTAACTATTTTGTGGGGGTGTTCGAGCCGTTCGAGAATTTTCATGGTCATTGAGAGTCCAGGAAAACGTTTAGGTACAACGACCACCACTGAAGGTAACGCTAACACCTCTCTATTTTTTTCGGGTTGATTTGGTGAACAGATTACGTTGGGCGATCGAAAGAGTAGATTTGTAACTAATAATTAGTTGATTTGCGGTTATGTTGGGTTTAGGACCATTCAATTAAATTCCAAAAACGCGTTTAGCCACAACAACCACAACCGAAGGTAAATTAAACTAAAAATATTTTTATATGGGCATATTGGAATTATGAAAAATATCTGAGCGTTTAAAAGAATTTAATATGATAGAACTAACGTATATGCCGTCTTAGGGGGGTTATTTTGGGAGCCCTAACCAGCAGAACCCCCTTAGGTACAACAACCACGCCCGAAGGTAACGCGAAAAAAAATTGGTTATAGCTATCATGTGCATCTGGTTATGAGGCTAATATTGGGTTCTGAAAGAGGAGCTGATTAGGGTGGATCTAACACTTTTCTGATTCCTTTCGGGCGGCTTTTAAGAAATAACCCATTTCCAAATTCCAGCCACTACCACTACGACAGCCGTTCCAAAAGGTAGGCGAATCTCGAAAAAAGTATTTGCCTTTTGAGCCTGCTCAAAATGCACCGCAGATATGCTGATGGCGGTTGACCCTGGTGCCGATCCTCATCCCTTCGATAGTGGTATCGGACTCTTTTTTAATTTATTCTTAATTGATTAGCGATGGTGGTAACGGCTGATGGTTGCGCGACTTTCGTGATGGTCTGCTCGACAGATGTGCCTGATATCGATCCGAGCATCGAGGTTTTATTTACAAGCTCCCTCTGGACACTCATTAATATACTAAATAACTACTGTTATCTTCAAATGACAAGGAATTTCGAAAGGGCCATTAAATAAGCCTCGAAGAATTTTTGTAAACCCATTAATTTAAAATCCCAATAAAATTTAAGGCAAGTTTTATTGAAAAAAATACAAAAAAAAGCCCGTAAATTGAATTGAGCAGATAGGAGAACAGGGTAACGTCAATTTTGCGGACTGCACTATAGTCTAATTCCAAACTATCAGGTTTTGGATTGGAGCTATTATATGGTTTTTTTTATCCAGATCAACGGTGGCACGCCTGCCTTCCCGACTAGCGGTGGCACGATGACCGGCACAATATACTGTAACGAAGAGGGAACGGGATGGATCTACCCGCAGGACGGCGGGACGGCAATCACCACCTACGGATGCAGTGCACCCACTTGCGCTGAGTATCCCGATCTATGCTAAAGACCGAACCCCCCTTATGGCACGATCAAGTGGTCGACTTTTTTGTGCCCGATTTCTCGCAATTTGATTCGAATGTCACACCAAAGTGTACTGAACTTTTCGCTCTAGCGCTCTGTGATCTCCTGCACTCTATTCGTGTGCGTAATAAATCAATAAATGTAGAGTGTATTCGGTAAAAATATTATGTTTCGGCTTGCTCCAGCCGACGTGATAATGCATCAAAGCAAATAAATATCTTTATTGTGCGTGGGGGCCTCGGCACCGTGTGACAACCAGTAATGATGGTTAAATTATCGGAAAACATATATTAATGAAAGTTATCCTTGTCTGAACCCTCGGCCCGTGTTTAAAAATCCAATGATCGATTGGCGGGCCGCCCGTCTGGCGCTAGGGTTTGTCGGATTTTGAAAGTACGTTTGGAAGGCCGGGTCGTGCTGGAACATAAAGGTTTACATAGATTAAACTCACGCTTTCTGGAGCTACATTAAGCAACAACTTACAGCCAGTTTACTGAAGGCCTTCTTCCAAAAATCACTGTATGGGTACGAGGTGTCCTTGTTGACGACTTTCACGTTTAGCGCTCGCGCTAATTGGACGGCGGCCGTTTCGACGACCGGCATAATCAGGCCTGAACATAGAAAATAGTACTTTAAAGTATATAACGCATGTAATATAACATATTTGGGCTTACTGGGGTCGTTGTGTTCAGCTTCGGACTGTAAGTACGCGTGCATCCGTTCGACGGGGGATACGGTAGCTGTGGCCAAGGTGATTGCAGATTCGACAGGCACTAAAAACGATTTTTCGTAGGTGGTTTAGAATCATTATAACTTGTTATAGGCTCTATAAAATTTTGCTAAACTGACTGGCTCCATGTGGTAGTAAATACGATCCTCCAGATGCTTCCAAAACCGATTTCGGGTGGTGTTGCGGGTTTTCTGAGGCTACCGTACTCACCACCGAGCCCCGGGTTTGTTCTTTTTCTGAAAGTCTATAATTTTGCGTGATTTTCACACGTTGATGTGCGGATGTACATCGATTAAATTTCCCAATAGTTTTCCGATAGTTTACTTACGTTTCTCCGTCTCTTTCATGACCAAATTTAGCGCATTCTTCGACGCGTCCGCAATTTGCGCCAAATATTTCGTGGCCGGTTCTAAAAAAGTAAATATTTCAAAGTCAGCAAACAGGTTAGTACGCCAAAAATCGGTTCTCGGAAAGAATATCACAGCATCCATGTTGTCGACGACCCCGACATCTTTTCCGGGGTGGGGCTGAGGGGAGGTGGGTGTTGTTGAGGAGGTCGTGTAGTGGGTGGATTCTAACAAAAATAAGGGTAACTTAAGGAACTGAAAAGGGGCGACGAACTGAAAATACACATAATAAATTAACTAAAAAACCCAAAAAAGGGACACATCTATTAAGTTTATCACCTGATAACCCAGTAGTGTCGGGGACAAGTGTGGGATGGGTGGTGGTTGTACTCCTCGATGTCGTTGTCGAGGTTAATGTAGTGATGGAAGTTGTGGTAGCCATCGTCGTGGTAGTGGTTGTACTCGATGGTGTCGTGGTCACCGTAGTGGGGGGTAAAGCAGTGGAGCCTTGCGTAGCTGGCAAGCCTTGATTTCTGACATCGCGACTGATGTCGTTAGAAATTTCTGGAGGAGGCGTCGGTAGTTCCTACAATATTCATTGCGTAATCGAAGGAATAAAATCTATTAGAATCCTTATACGGGACAGGTTTTCAAGTAAACTAAATATAAAATCAATCATCTTCCCTATTAATTTGAAAATGTTTTTTTGCTAGTTAAACCAGAATGACCTACCTTATTGCCACCGCCAATCTGCGTAATATCCACATACGGATTTTCCGAATTATTCAGTGTTCCATTCGAGGGACAATCGGCGTTTTTCCGCATTTCTTCCGAAATTCTGGAAAACAGTTTGGGCGATTTGGGGCTAGAACTTACTTAAAAAGAGGCCCATGACCAGGAATAATATAGTTTGATGCGCACAGCACTTTGTTGCGGTTGATCTTACCTAAGATTTCCGAAATCCGTGGGAAAACTGGTTTCTGACCTATTAACGGATTCCAGGCATCAGCATACCAGTCAGTGCCATTGGTCGCATCTTGTTCAGTGTAGAAGAGGTCTCCTGAAAAGCGAAATAAAAGGATTGACTAACTATTTGGCAAAGCTATTTAAACCCACCTACAACAGCCACCGTCCCGCAGCACGGCACATTTCGGACGATCACCGAAATGTCCTGATTTGTGTGGCCGGGGGTGTTCCAGATCTCGACGTTTGGCGTGATTCGCATGGTCTCATTCTAGAAATTATCCGAGAATCGTTTAGTGTTGAGCTTATACTTAAGAATTTTCGAACTTCTTCAAAATTTCGGACATCTGCTTATTTACGCTTGAAATCTAAAATTTAAAAAATCTGAAACGCAAGTTTAAACTCTAGCAAAAACCTAACATAAACCTAAGCCTAATCCAGCGTCCCTGTCACATCTAATTTAAAAATGTATGCAAATTCCGTAACTATCAGGTTGGTAGATAAGTCCTGTCACAATTTTTTCCCCCCTTCCACCCCCTCTTCCCCTCCTTTCCTCTCTCTTTCTTCTTTCTTTTCTCTTTTCCCCCCCTCCCCCTCCCTCCCCCCCCCCTTTCCCCCCCTTTTCCCCCCCCTTCCCTTCCCTTCCCCAATTCCCTTTTAAACCCTTTTTTTCATTTTTTCTTTTTCTTTTTCTCTTTTTTTTTTTTTTTTATCTTTTCCCTTATCCCCTCCCTCTTTCCTCCCATATTTTTTTTTTTTTTTTAATTCTTTATATCCATATTACTCCCTTAGATTCCATTCCCTTCCTTTCCTTTTCTTTTATTTTCCTCTTTCTTTTTTCCCTTTCTCTTTTTCCTTTCCCTTTCCCCACCCCCCCCCCCCCAATTCTTTACTTTTTTTATTTTATATATTTTTTTTTGGTTTATTATTAAAAAAAAAAAAATAAAATCCCCCTTCCCCCCCCCCTCCCTCCCCCCTTTTCCATTTTCTTTTTTTCCTCCTTTCCTTTTTCTCCCCCCTTTTTTTTTTTTTTTTCTTTTTCTTTTTTTTTTTTTTTTTTTTTTTTTAAAAAAAAATAATTTTTTTTTTTTCTTTTTTTTTTTATTATCTTCTCCCCTCCTCCCCCCTCCTTCTTCTTCTTCCTCCTCCCCCCCCCCCCAAATAAAAAACCCCCCAATCCTTTATAATTAAATATAAAAATTTTAATCCCCCCTTTTTTTCGGTTATTTTGTTTTTTTAAAAATTTGTAAAAGAATTTATCTACCAACCTGATAGCAACAATCAATCGATCCCCACGCTTCCCAACGTGTACCCGGCGCCATTTTGTGTTCATGGTCATTGCCATTTTCAGAGCGCGGGGCACGACCCAAATCCGCGCGCCGCGAGCGCCTTAGTCCTGTGTGGCGTCGGCGTGAAGCCGCAAGAACTGCTGTTGTCTGCTGGGGGCAAACATACACACCGGGGACAATATGGCTATGCGACCAGGGGCCTGACGTCGGAATGAAAAAGTGATGTTCAAGGTGGTGAACAAGATTTGAATTTGATAACGTAAACTAACGTTCCTCCTGTCCCAATGCCAAAGTATCGGAAGCGTAACTTACATGTGCGAGCTCCGTTTGAATATACGTATCATCCGAATATTCATAGCTCCCGAAAAAGTGTCGAGCATTGGGGAAGAAATTGCCCTGGCCAAAATGATCAGGATGCCCATGGGAAGTGACGATCATTTGAATATGGCCTGGCGCAAGGTTTCGCGAGGTTAACCCTGGAAACATGCCCTTTATTATATTCTAACCCCCTACCTCTCAACATTTGACTTTTGGAATCGACATCTGTTGCCGAAGGGGAATCAAATAGGATGTAATACCCGCTGTCGAAGATTAGACTCACCGAGGCGCGGATTTTCATGCCCTAAATGATTTGAACATCTTAGAAGAAAGGGTATATAAAAGAATTTCTCATAAAAATTGAGCTTACCTCCTTTATCCGCTGAATATAACCGTCAACAAGTTGTGTCACGTAGGTGGGGACGACTTTTTGCATGGGTTCGATGTAAAACTAAAAAATTTCGTACGAAGCTTGTGTATTGAATGTTTCACAAAATTTGAAATTTTTCTATTCTCGAATTTTCCAGATCACAACACACACGCGAGCTAAATGAGGTCCAAAAACAAGCTGCGTACTTCCCACCTCTGCCCCGAAAAAAACCGACGAGCACACATCACTTTCCGGGCTCGAAACGCTGCCAACCCCCATTAAATGGTGTTAGCGGGGGAGGAAGCTACAGAACCCCGCTGAAAAAGGTGAAAATTCGGTGCTGAAAGTGGGGCTGAAGCACGCGCGAAGTTGGTGGCGATCTTTTGATTGGCTCGCCAAAAAAAGGGGATGCTTGATGGTGATCTCGGGTAGAATCGAGCCTGGTCAGTGCGATCAGATTTTGCCGTACCGCGGTGATACCCAAGATTTTTACGGGTTCTATACCTCATCTATAAAAATTGCAAAACGTTTGTAGGTATCTCGGGACCGATACATCTAGTTCATTTTCTTACTAAATCCGCCTTCACTACATCTCTCTCTTTCTTTCCTTCTCTCACTCTCTATCTCTCTTTTCTCTCTTTCTATTGTTCTCTCTCTCTCTTTCTCTCGCACTCTCTCGTTCCGTCGTTACCTGCTTAGCAATATAAAAATTTACAATACCTGTATCCTCTCGGGCTTTGCGGCGGCTTGGCTGACAAATAATTGACACAAGAATAGAATGGGAATTAATTGCCGCATCGTGGATCGTTCGTTGATATTGGTGGGATCACCTAGATTTGTTGGTTACCTATGGTATTTTTCCGTATTTATATTTAAGTGTGAGAATTTAACAAAAGAGTCGCATGTTGTAACGGAATTTGACAGAACTAGCCTTCGTGAACACCTTTTAGGAAAAAATCCAGTTTCAATTAATAAATAAACAGCAGCTGGGGAAATACAGCATCTACACTTCGACAAAAATCAAGGAATGAAAGACTGGAGTAGATGAGGTTACGCATCCCGACGCGACGTCGGGATAACACGCAAATTATGATGCAACGTAAAAATAAGCTCAACAAAACGATTTTTGCGCGTTGCATCCTAATTTGCATGTTATCCCGACGTCGCTTCGGGATGCGTAACATCTCTAGGCAGAAGATATATTGATTGCGCCGGAAATGTCATATTTCGTGGAAAGGCGCATCATGGCTTCACATAAGAAAAGTCTTACGGCCAACCGGCTTCTACAATCTCAAAGAGTTCTGTGACAAGTTACGGTGGAAGAGGAGAAATAGATTGCATGGAGTGACTAATGACAAATTTCGCTAATAGTCGTTCAGCCGAAGCGCTTGCCGCCGGCCTGGTCAACCCGTGTGCCGTCGTGTCTTTTCGGGGCCCAAAGTCTTCGGGTGTCCAGTTTCCCATTCCAGCCGGCGCGGAAGCGCGCCCGGGAGCAGTCTTTCCGCCCCCTCCCCCACAGGTGCTAATCGGACGGTGTGTGAACAAGCCAAGACGACCGTCGTCGTCCGCATTCTGCGCCTTGTACCACGGTGCTCTGTTGGTCCCCCGGAATGTGCCATTCATAAACGGAGGTCCCCAGTGAATGGCTGCTCGCAACAGGGCGCCTTTTAGAAGAACAGGTCTCCGGGCGGTCACTGATAAACATCCCGAACCCGATGGTCTTTGTGGGTTGTGTGTATTTTGGCGGGTAGCGTCAGCGATACTCTGTTTTTTGTATTGTTATGTGAGGGTAGTGGGGGACCAGAGTGGAGCGTTGTGTGCAGTGGAAACAAGAAGGTTGAAGGGTGAAGTATTGTCTTTGAGCGTAGATATTTGTTATTTTGCATTAGGCGTACGGTTTTATTCAAAAAGCTATTTGGTCATCATGGATAAATACAATTAATAATTACGGTTTCAGGCTGTAGGCCGAGGACCCATGCAAGATCAAGCCAGAAGTCGTACTTTGAAAGTCGAGTAGTGGCGGTTTTATTAAATGCAAAGGTTTATTCAAAACAGCGTTAGTGCTGCTCACATCAATAACTTAATCATATTAATAACTTAATAACTGACTTAACTTCACCAATACCGGATTTAAGCTATCAAATATTATCGAACAAGATGAAGGTCTAGTAGCGCTTTTGACAGTAGAAAATATTTTTCGTAAAATGCAAAGCTTCTAAAAATTGAGTCTCAGGAATTTACAGACATAGATCAATACTGTTGAAATCTAGTAATCAAGCCGGTGTGCAACTCGTGCAGATGCTGATGGTGGATGTTCGTGTAGAAGCGCTCGAAATTTTCGCAAGGCTCGAGCACAGGTTCCCTTCTCATGATCATCCATTCTTGGAGTTCGCGTTGTCCGGTGGACCATTCGTGAATTATCTAAATTAAAGGGTTGACTACGCAATTCTCTCTCTTTCTCTCTCTCTCTCTCTCTCTCTCTCTCTTTCTCTCTCTCTCTCAAGTCTCACCTGCACCGCAAAATCGTGAATTTCCTCATTCGTCGCCACCGACTCCATGATACAAAGCTTCGGGTGCCTGAGCAGCAGACATTCAAGTAGCACGCGTTGATCGTTGACCATTAGCACCCCGTCAAAGTCCGGTGTCTCGATCATCAATGCCATATCCACCGTTGGCACGCACACGCTGATATATTCCACTGGTCGTCGGTGTATCATTAGGTGGTAGAGGACGTTGTCTCTCAGCCTTGGGCCAAGGTGTATCGTCTCGGCCTATGGAGCAAAATTAGATAGCATATATCGTGAGACCACGAGGCCGGAAGAGTCTAAGTCTCAGTCTCAGCCTCAGGCTCAACGTCAGCCTACGCCTGAACCTTAGCCTATGCCTAGGCCGCAGCCTAAGCACAAGCCGCAGCCTAAGCACCTGTCCTAAACACCCACCTTAATGCCGAGATCCTCATAATATGGATTATGAATGACCAGGGTACGCGTCAAAACCCCGTCCAAAAGAAGCTTGCGAGTTGTCGGGCTTGTAATATCCAATATTTTGGAGGCATGCTTTTCGATGACAGTCCAGCAATCATCCCGGATCGTTATCCAGCTGATCCTCTTCTTTGGCGGCGGACCCGTGGCCAGGGTGTAAAATCTCTTGCACGCCCTGGCCCACCGAAAACGGGTCTCCAGATCCTGATAGTTGACGTATTTCTGGATCGGGTTGAGGATTTCCATCGGGAAATCGGCCAAGGAGAGGCCATGCTAAATGGGCGGACTTGTGGGATTGAGGTTAAAACCAGAAGAAGAAAAAACAAATCAGTAAAAATAACTGACTTGTTGCTCGGCAGATGGTATTCCGGTGGAATGCTGACTCAATATCTTGGCTATAGAAAATCCAGGCGCGTCCATGTTGATAGATAAGTTTTAAGATAAGGGTCCAGTAGTGCGGTCCCGATTTTCAAACAAGTTCCAATGCACTACGCTGCTAGAATGGTGGCGGGAGGTCAACAGATATCTTTAATGCTACTCCAGATTGTAGCCTCAGGCATGGCGAAGCGGTAAAGGCGGAAATAATAGGGTAACAAATTTTTGGTAAGATGGCATTAGAATTGCGCATAAAATAAAGAAGTTCAAAGGTATAAAAAGTGCAGGAAAATAGTCGAAACCTACGCCTACGCATAAGCCCAAGCCTAAGCAAACCTAGCCCAAGCCTAAGCTTAAAGCTAAGCCTATGTCTGTGAAATATCGACTTTACAAGAAGCTCCAACTTTCAATAATTTTGTGGGCCCCAAATATCATCAGAAAGGTTATGCAAATTTCAGGAAAATGAACAGCTCTGCCATTGTGAGCATCACCCTCTTTGGCTGCTCCTGCCTACTTCTAATTTTTTATTCGCTTAGCATGCAGACCGTGCGTCCCGGGTGTGCATTCAGCGTTCTCCAGAACTTCACCGCTCGACTCCCCTACTTCCCGTCCGAGACGTTTGAGCAGCGTCAGCAACGTCTGAACGATGTCCACGCGGTCATAGAACAGAATTCGGATGTAAGAACATTTTTTTGACGATAAAGTTCATTGATAAACTCAAAAACAAAACGGTTTTTACAGCCACTTCCGAAACGAACGTCAAATTTGACAGCATCTGAATTTTGTTCTATTAAAGGGAATTGTATACGACCGGTGGCAAAATATGATACAAGGTGGAAAGTAAGGCAATTTAGAAGTTCTAAAGTTTGACCTTTAGGTATCCAACAAATTCAAACTAGCTGCGTGTCTGATTCATAAAACCATGTCAAGCGTGATGACCGGCATTATGTGCTTCTTGGAAAAAGCTCGCTCCTACAAACAAGTTAATGCCACCGTAACCAGTTATGAACAGGCTAAAACGTAATTCATACTATATAGAGCACTAAGACTTTGCAAATTCAGTATTTGCCACGGAAATCACATCACCGATTTCGCGCAGATGGAGGAGAAATATAATCTCGTCGGCTGGGATTTCGTGGTCCTCACCCGACATCCTATTGATCGATTTTTAAGTGGATACGTGGATCGCTGCATACGGTAATTAGAGTGTCTTTTAGAAATCTCGAAATCAATGGTGTTTAGTATGGCGGGCCCAGTTCGAGGGGAAGACTACTGTAATGGCTGTGGAATGAACATGACCTGTTTTCTCGAAACCGAATATCAAAAAATTCAGCGCCAAATCCAAAACAAGAGAATTTCGCGGGGATTCGTGGACAGACATTTCTATCCTCAATCTTGGTAAGAACAATACTACTGTAATCTGAGCATTTTTAGGCGCTGCCAAATCCTCGATAACGCCGACAGGTACAAGTTCATCAAGTACACCAGCGACCCCGCGGAAAATGTACTTCCCGAACTGGAAAATGTATTTACGAAACATAAGGTATTACTATCTAGCTAAGGTGTATATTAATTTAGGTCCCAAAATCGTACATTGACTTTGTGCGGAGTCAACTGACGAGTCTCCGAACTGTCCATGCTACTATTGCTACGCCATCGCGACAATTTCTTGAAGAACGATTATTATCCAGTGATTATCTATTAGAACTTGTAGTTCGTATATTTTATCACGATTTTCGGATTCTGAATTATCAACTGCCTTTCTGAAGCTGTTAAGGTGTACTGTATGCAGAGATTTTTGACTGGTATTTGACGGGTTTTTTTTGTATGTTTTAAATTTTTAGTTAGAATCGAATAAAATATAGTAATCGCCATATAAATTGAAAATTAATCAATCATAGGACAGCGTTTTTTATCAGCCTTATCGCCCTGAATACCTAAAATGTACGGTAGTCCCTCTTTCTAGCCGATCATTGTATACCCAAATTATGACGGTGCACAGCTATTTTTCAGATAATTTCCGAAGTATTTGGACATGTATCGGATTAAACATGATCGCGTGTGGAAGGTGTACAGTGTACTGTAGCGGAAAACATGTTAAAAACAGTGTCAGAATTGTATTCTGCGCGGAAAGAACGGAGGAATCATCATGGCAACGTTAAAGCAGTCGATTCGAGGCCGAAAATAATGTCCTGTACAAAAATTGTTGCACATCGGAATAACTGAATCTCAGTAAACCAAACACGAAAAATATAAAGATGTAAATAGAGCCGTAAAATCCGAAGGTGTGGCTAGATGACACAAAAAAGCATCAAGGGAGGGGCGGGGGATCACAAGATGATGAACTAGCGCACGGAAAAAAACCCATGGAACACGTGAAAAATCTATAAATACTTACAACTTGCATTGAGCACGAGGAAAAGCCAGGGAAAAAATAGAAGCTGTATAGGTCCCGTGGGCGGAGGAATTACGCACAAAAAATATGAAAAATGTATATGAAATGGGTAACTGTATTTGCACCGTAAAATCGGGAACGGGGAGGGTGGAGCTTAAAGGGGTTTGGCAGGCCAAATTTAGCTTAAAAAGCTATTTTTTAGGCCTTAGATTTGTGAAACTTGGTTAGAGTTGATTTTGTTTCCAACCCCTTTAAAACATCGTGTTTTCTATACTAATAAAATTATACTAATTGCGAGTGGTTGGAGGGGCGGATTTGGCGGCGGAACTGGCTTCGCTCGGCGACTGCTGGGCGTACATGTCCTGAAATTGTAGGGTATAGGCTTTAAAAGCCTAAAATATTTTAAAAGCAAATTAAAAACCTAAAACCCGGAAATTTGAGCGATATTACCGCCCATCGGACTCGTTTGGCAAATTGGACTGTGGTGAGAACGCGGCTCATTATAAGGACTCTTTTCTAAAGTATTTCCTTTTGGAAAGTTTAGATAAAATTACAGCACGGAACGATACCGTATTTAATAGATTTTTCAGTTTATGGACTATCAATAATCGAAAAATTTTGATAAAATTCCCGCTACCTACCTGCAAGATACCGCCAAGCCTCGCCGTCTCGTCCAACTGCTTCCGGTACTGCTCGACAAGGTTCTTGATCAGCAGCTGAGCTTCAGTGAGACGGGACTCCAAAATCAGCTTCTCGCTCTCCAACCGCTCGACGGTCGCGTTTACGTCACCCCATTTGGCGGGCGGCGACCTGAAGGAGTTCAGTATACTTCCGGTCTGAACATTCCCAACGTTTTCACCTATTATGGTAATCTAGCATTATTTCTGCAGAAAGGTATCAAATAATTATCACAAAATTACAGACACCATGCGGGAGAAGTCAACTAAACTTTCTAACTGTGGCCAAGCTACTGCATTGAGGAAAGAATAGAAGTCAGAATTGTGAGAGTGAAGCCAAAGCAGGCATGCCGCACCTACGCCATTCCAGCGTCTGCTGGCTGTCCTGACTTCCGCCCAACTGGCATTTGTAGCGTGCGGAAACGGAACCGTTTTGCATCGAGAAGAGCACGCGGAGCTCGGTGACCTAAAATTTATAAAAATATACTGGTCAAATGTAGGTGTTATACCTTCTCCTTGGCAGCCTCCAAACGGCCCTTCAACTTGCGCACTTCCCGTTTGAGGACAATCTTATCCTGAAGATGTCGATAAAGCAGCCAAAAGCTTGACTTACATCACTCAAACTTCCGGCTGAACTTCCAAGATCTTCAATGCCACTCTCGGATGTCGTCGAATCTCCGGTACAGGTGGAATAAAGCTCGCGGAGTCGAACATCTACCAGGTCACATCGTTCGCATTTAGAGCTCATTGAGGACATGCTCTAAAAATATTTATATTTGCTTAAAGCTCTGCGTACAGGTTCTTTTGAGAAATTAAACATTGCAAAACCCACCCTCTGGAATGGCATATGAATATGGTGATGTCGCTTCTCAACTCCAAGGGCTCTAGGGGATGGCTGCTCAAACATGGAGGTGGAGGGGTCCATATTCCTAAAAACATAAAAAAATAAGTCTTTGATTTCGCGATTACAAACCTGTACTTTTCCACCAACGACAAGAAGTTGCTGGCATTCTTGTCGATCAGTACCGAACTGGTATGCGCCCGGAACTAAAAAAAACGTAAAAATTTCGTCGTTTTTGAAACCTGATTTCGGTACTTGTCCTTCATCTCGGTTAACCGCTTCTCGTAGCCGTTTCGCTGGCCTTCGAGGGAAGATTCAAGCATCTAAAAAGATCTATAGATACTTAGTTCTTAAAATTCGAGATACCTTGATTTGTCGCCTGTACTGCTCTATCTCGACGGGTCCCTCGTTGATGTTAGACGCTGATAGTCGTTGCAATTCCGAGTCAAAGTCGTCCTGAAATTTAAAGTTTGAAGCTTTGTCGGCTTAGCTTGCGTAGGCTTCAGCTTAAGCTTTGATACGTGCTAAATAATTATTTTACCTGTAACCGGCTCATCAGCTTCGTCTTCTCTACGGCAAAAGCTTGTTCGAGTTGGGCTCGTTCGTTCGAGACCCGTTGGTCAAGTTGGCGCTCCCAGCTAAACACATAGACCTTAATGTTGCACAGATACTAACTGTGAAGTGATCTGCTTCTCCTGCTCATTCAGTGCATCAGCCAGTGTCTTTCCTGCCGACATCTTCATCGCCATCAGCTCTCTTCGATGATCTTCTTGAAGGCGCTGAACTCGTTCTTCGAGTTGTTTCATAACATTTTTATGCGATGCAACGGCTCCTTCTCGGCTTGTCGAGGGTTTGGATTCAGCAGAAGTCGAGGAGGATTCTGAAACCGGTGTCGGCGAATTGTGTGCTAAACTTACCAGCATCCTGTTGCACTGACAAACGAGAAAGCAAGCGCTCATGCCGTTGCTTCCGGTCTTTCCGTTTCCGTAACCTTCGCCTCCGGACTCGTGCAAAAATGGCTTCGGGTTCGCTGTCCATTTCTGAGAGTGTGTCCCCGCGGGCTAATCGCCGCTTTCGGAACATGGAGACCTGAAAAACTTTATCAATATTATTATTATCTATAAAGCTTGTATCTCCTAGTACATCTGATTACGATATGAATTTACCTGTGTCTTGAAGGCCGGGCTCCACTTGGTGAACAACGGATTGACATCCCGACTATTTTTGTTCTTCTTCTGGTTCAGCGACAGCTCTTGGACCTTCTCGCGTAGTCGCTAAAATACAAATTTTAGAACGTCTTGTCTTGTAAATTAAAAAAGTAGTATACAACCACTCCAGAAAATGTCAAACCTTATTATGTGCAACCAAAAGCTCGGTCTTCTGCTTCCACATCAGCACATTCCCATTGTCATCCTGGGGTCGGGGTTGCATGGCCTGAATTTTCGAGTCCTTTTTTAGAAACCAGAACCCGCACCTTCGACAACTCGGTTCGCAGCTGTCGGTTCAGCTGTTCCAGCTGCGAGATCGTTTCGGTGAATTCTCTGAAACAGTAGTTGATGATGGGATTAAATTTCGATCGAATTGCTGATTTTTATGATTTCTCGCCTAGGATTTTTTAAGGTTCCGGAGTGCTGTTCCCTAAAACAACGAGCCACTTACGCCATATAAATCAGCATCGGATCCACCGCTATTGGGCCCATAATTCCTAGGTAATGGGCCACCGGCTAGGAGTATAAATTAGGGTCCAGTAGGATAAAAGGGCGAGGAAGCGACACCTTTGGCAGACGGGGGACGAGTCGGAGAGAGAGAGAGCGAGAGAGAGAGAGAGAGCGCCTGAGAAACGGCTGCGACGACAAACAGAGGTGGTGCCAAGACGGATGAGGCCTGGGGGGCAGATAGGGCCCAAGATCAACGAATCACCTGCACTAGCTCGTGCAGCAAAGTGTCCTTTTTAACCCGATGGGGGGGTTGTCCTGGCCGTGCAAAAAGTGGACTGGTGGAGCGGACCGGAAAGTTGTCCCTGTCACTTTTCAGCAGTACTCAATGAGAGGGCCAGTTGGTTGGTCAGGGATCGGTGTAGGTTCGGGATGTGGTATTGGTTTTGGAAATTGAGAGGAGGTGTATCGGGACTTTGTGTCATCAAAGATCAAGCGGTAATTACTATTAATGAGTTAATGTAGTTTACGAAACCATTAAGGCGTGATAGATCATTTCTAAATTTACCCACCTAGCCTCCTCATTCAACCTCCCGCACTGCCGCTCCATCATCGTCATCTTATTCCGCATCGAATTTTCGGATTGACGGCTACGCGATAATTCCTCATCACACTATAATAAGACGTTTCAATTAAATTGATGGTCTTAAACCAACCCTCTCGATCTCAATCTGCAACTCTCGCTTCTCCACCTTTGCCTTCTCCTCGAATTGCACCATTTTCGCTCGGAACCGATCTTCGTTTTCGCTAAATAAATTTACGCTCTTAAAAAAGCCAAAGCAACTCTACCGTAATCTATTCTCATATCCCTGCTCGATCGACACTTGATTTTGCTCCAGCTCCTCGATCAAAAGCGTGCGCCGCTGGTTAGCGAGTTGGAGTTGTTTTTGGAGGTATTCCGTCTGGGTTTCCCCTTCTTTGATACAACACCTAAAATGGGATTTATTTCAGTTGTCAAAATTCAATTTGATCAATTTTTTTGGTAAAAAGCTTAGGAAATTGACGACATAATGCCTACCGCAGATAATCGATACAGGAGTGTAGAGCAATTATCGCCGTTTTCACGGCTACCGGTGCCTCGGCCGCCGCGTCGCTCAGCTCGCGCTCCAAAAAGCCGGAGAGGAACACGGCGTTGACGGTGCCGGATATTGGCTGGCCGCATTGCTGGAAAAATTAGCATTAAGGTCAATTTCAATTTTATAATACAGAATTCTATTTTATTTCCGTTTTAAGTTGAAAAATTTACCGGAACCTTACGGCTAGCGAAAATATGGACCATTTTGATCAACCTAAGCTAGCTTTAGACCTTTTAAGGGATCGGCAAGATTTTTTTCCAGGCTTTTGGACCGGTTCCACCCATGGAAATCACATCCCAAACTCTCAGGTTACCAAAATCCCCCTTTGATCCACCCGCAATCCCCTTTCCGCACCCTGAAGGTGTGAATTTATGAACCCCCGGACTCGCCCATTCCCCTCGACTCCAAATTCCGATTCCCATGCCCACTTTTTTGCCCGAGTCCAACCAATTCTACTGGTGACCCCAATTTGCCGAGGTACCCTTTTGCCTCTCTTCCCTCCCCGGGCTAGCCAGTAAATCAGGGGCAATAAATTTGTTGTGTTTCCTCCTCGCCGCGCCCCCCGCGGGATTCGTTTTTCTATGTGACCCAAGGTCAGATCTGGGTTTTGAAGGATAGATTATATACAATGTATTATATAAAACGTAATAAATAACGCAATATAAACACGTTTAAAGCAATAAAGCAATAAATACCTTCAAGACGGTAATCCCTTCATCAATCCTGAGCCCGGCTTTCGACCAGTACTCCAGCAAATCGTGGCTGTCGACGGTACTGAAAGCGGATTTTTTTGCCTTAAGGCATTCTTGAATTACACACTAACCAATAAAGTCTATATTGTTGTATCTGAAAGCATAATTCCCTTACCCGTGTTTGCCGTATCCAGGGCGTCAAAAAGATTCAAAGTGGACACGAACGAGTCGGCGATGAAATGGACCTGAAATTTATAGAATTAAGGGCGATTTAGCAGCGCGGTGTTTAGCATTATTTGCACCTAACATAAAGTATGATTTCGACATCAAATACTCTGCCTGAATAAAGGGCAAAACCAGGATGAAGCCGACATATCTGACGTGCCGGGGGTAGCTCTAGCGGCTCTCCCCCTCCCATCCCGTAACCGCCAATTATGGCACCGAATATTTATGAGAGCCGATGGGATTTGCGGGATGATAGTCGGGCTGGCGGCAGGGGTGCGTGGTCGTGAAATGTGTGTGTCTCAGATTCACCTGGCATTCGATTGGGAAAGCGCTATTCCGGGGGTTCTACGGGAATAACAAAGTCTGCCCAAGGGATCAGAGACACCGGCTAACTCGGGGCTGCTGAAACTTTAAAAGCTGTTTGAAGCCTATCGTCTTGTGTCAAACCTCCGCCATAAGCCCTAAGCCTAAGCTTGCCTAAACATAAGCGTAAGACTACGCCTAAACCTAAGACTAAGCATAAGACTAAGCCTTGACCAAAGCCGAAGTGAAGCCTAGACCGGAAACTAAGCATAATCCTAAGCCCAAGCCTAACTAAGGCTAAGCCTAAGCCCAAGCTTAAACCTATAAGCCTACGTTTAACCCCATCCAAACCTTATTACCTCGCGCAATCGCGTTGCATCAGGTTTCTTGCGCTTGAAAAAAGGTATAAGGCGCTTCATCGCGAGCAGATTTTGAGCGCAAGAATCGGATGAGTGGGAATGAATGAAAAATCGGGAGGCGCTTCGGAATAGACTTGTGACCATGTGTAATATTATGGCGCGACGAGTGTCCAAAGCGTGTCCTCTGGGTAATAAACAAAACTGATGACTCACTAAGAAAAACGGGGCAATATGTTGATTTTCCAGAGGGGTTCTAGTGAGGGTTTGATCTTCAGGTATCGCGATTTTTTGATCACATCAGGTATCTCGGGTTTTGAAGGGATAGTATGATGAAGAGCAAAATTTACTTTGGGGTTATTAAGAGCCAGACTAGTCTTGAAAGGCCCGGTAAAGTATTGACACAAAACAACCAAACAACACAAAAGTTTTCTGCTTTAAACAACCCAGAATAAGAACGAAAAATGGTGGGAACGGTGCTCTTTGTCGGGCGAGTTCCCGGGGGAATACCTGGAGCAGCTGTTTGCTAGAGGGCGCGGGTGTCGCGCGCGTATAGGTCTGTGAAGGGCCATCCTTGTAAAAAGAGAGGGAGGGGAGGGGGATGAAGGCCGAAAACCCGGACACACGAACGATGGGATGGATAGATGGATGGACAGACATACAAACAGCGACATACGGAAAATGAGGGGATTTGGGAGGGAGACGGATTCTCCCACGGATGGGCAGACCGATCGCCGAGAGGCTTGGGGTAAAAAATCTTTGGCTATGTACAGTGAATTACGGGGCCAGGCTTACTTAGCCTCGAGATAGGCTTAGGCAGAAGCCTAGTTTAGGCTTAGACTTGGGCCTAGGCCTAGGCTTAGGCTTAGGATCAGACTTAGGCTTGGCCTTTTCTTCAAAAAAGGCATCCCCAAAATGCAGTGTAAAGTTTAAAAAACACGAATATGGAGAAAGGCTGCCAAAAAAGTGGACTCGTCTTTTTTCGAGGCTGCGGTTCGAAAAAACCGTCAAAAACGATTCCCTTTGACTCGCGACCGAAAATCAGCAACTTTCCACTACCCCACCCTCCGCCTCGACACCTTGCCCGCCCAAAAAACGCTCAATATTTGCCCTTAACCCGGGGAGTTCCGCGGCGCTACACCTGGTCCCGGTCGACCAACATCCATACAAAATCCATTGTACCACTTCAAGGGTAAGAAATGTATAGCCAATAACCGAACGGATAAAAGGAGGGCGAAAATGTGGCAGAAGGTACGCACCTCGGCGGATAGCCTCTTCTGAAGTCGATATTGTTGCAGAAATTGGTGTATGGAGACGCGGCCGTTTCTGGAAAAGTGGCAGATATGGTTTGGCTATTAATGCGTAGATCGTTACGATAACTTTTCCAAGAAGCAACTTGGAAAAGTTGCAACACAATGCAAGCGATGTAAGAGAGCGAAGAGAGAAAGAGAGAGAGAGAGCGAGGGAGAGAACGATAGAGAGAAAGCGATGGCAGACGCTTTTTTTACTAGTGTGCGGCGTATGTCGACATCGAGTCAATGGCCCGGGGTCGATTCTGGGCCTTTCAGACCTCTTTAAAGAGATGAGGACGGCATCTGTTGAACCCCCCTTGGGGAGAGGCGCAGAGACATTTTCTTTCCCGCGCGTAATCGATTGCCTTATGCCGCCTCTATCCCTTTAAGGGAATCAGTAGCAACATCAACATTTACAAGATAGATCTAAAAAAGCGGCGCGTTACCTGTCGCTGTCGGCCCGATCGAATAGCGCGGACACATCCCCAGAAGTGAGCGCCGACAGTTCGCCCGTGTTTTCACACAACAACCGGGTCTCGTGGCGCGTCAATCTGAATGGCCCTTTTGGTAGACTTTTTTTAGGGGAGCAGTTTTTTGACCGGACACACACACATATTGGAAATCGTGGTCCCTAGGCAGGTGTCGATAGGCCGGTAATTTAGTTCTTTTCAGAGGCATCGAAATCCGATTTCAAAACCTACAGTATCTCAACCTCATACTCATACTCCGATTCCGGGTCCATCCAATAAAACTTTATAACGGTGCGCGCGCGGAATATAATTATCACCAGCCCGGGAATGCGGTGGTGGATGGGTGAAATCAGACGACAAGTGTTAGGAGTGAGTTGGGGGTGGCAAGTGAGTGCGAGAGTAGATTTTCACTTTCCACCTCGCTCCCCGTCCAATCACATCAATATGCGTGCGTTCGGCCACAGAATTGCGATCCCCGGGGAACGCGACGGGGTGGAGGAGCGCGAAAAAAATTAGAAAAAAGAGTTTTTGGGCGGTAGGGCATGCTGGTTTGTCTGGACGGATTATGCAAATGTGAGTGCAAGTTTTGCAGGCCAAAAATTTGGAGGGTACGTTGCCACAGTCATTTTTACGAAATATTACGGAAAAATGGACTAAAAGAAGCAGAATCTGCCGTAATTTTTATTTTGTTTAAGGCATATTTCGAGTAACAGAGAGTGAGAGATAGCAAGCAAAATGTGTGTTTGCAAAAGCTGTTTTAAAGGGATCACCAAAAATTCCACCTATTTTTCTCCAGCCTTTTAAGTGCATTCCACTATTTGCACAGACCGTCCACCAAGTCGTAAATTTCACCTTCAATTTGTCAAGCCCGAGACACGACACGAGGACGGTTGTGTAGCGTCGACTTTTCAAGATGGCGCACCCAGATAAAATACACGCGGCGCGGGGGGTTCAGCACCCCGTTTTTCGGTACTCGAAAACATTTTCCGGGGCGGTCTGGCCGGAGGTGGCCTTGGCTAGGGTAAAGGGGGCATTTGGGAATTCAGAGGGGTTGGCTAGAAAAAAAAAGGAAAATCAGAAAAAAAACCGGAAGTTATTTTTAAAGGGATCGAATGGTCAATATTGTTTTTAAAAATCCAGGTTTTAGTACAAAATTGTCGATAAGAAGCTCTCACCTAAAGAAATTGTCGCCAATCTGCATTTTTCGAATGTTCTGCACCGACTTCGTGGCCAACTCATCGACATTGCCGGATGAGACGTCGATGATCTCAGGCAACAAGGCGACAAACCGGTCTTTAAAGTCCTAGAATTTCACATATAATCAAACCCCGTGAAAATTCTACTTACATAAAAACTGACGTTGTCCTGGCCTTGCAGCACCCGCGTGACAATCTCCGGCGCGAAGGCGTTCAGCTTCAGCTTGTCGCATAGCTTCGACAAGCCATGCGCGCTCAGGCACTCGTTCTCGTCCACGTTGCATGAGAGGAAGATCTGCAAGGGGATTTTATTTTGAGGGCCGAATTCAGAAGTTAAATTTTCGCAAAGTACGCGATGCTACGCACCCTACGCAACTCCTGTACGTGGGCATTATCGTCGTTGAGGGATTCGTCCACTTGGAGGGCAGGCATTACAATTGAGGCGGCATAGAGGCCTGGAAAAATATGGAAATTAGGATTGGCTTTGCGCCTGACATTGAGAAGCGAATAGGGTATCGGGAAGAAAGAAGCAGGTGAAAATAGGCGTAAGATAATAATAATAAGATCGTCTAAGATAAATAAGTCTAAAATTGTAATTTTTCTAACCTTCTAAAAATTTTTAACACTGCGCTAAAACCTGTGAGAACAGCCGCTTTTAATTGCTATCAGCTATAGTGCAGGGGGAATCAGATGGCACGCGCTGGGAAATGAGGAGAGAGAGTCTTAAGCTTAGAAAGCGAGAGAGAGAGAAAGAGAGAGATAGAGAGAGCGAGAGAGAGAGAGAGAGAGAACGCGAGAAAGCGGCTCGTCTCAACGCGGAAAGGATTACGCGGTGCGGAGACCACCCTGGGGCGCAGGTGGGCGTCGTGCGATGGGTGGACAATCGCTGAATATACACTTTCTTGCCCAGATACACCATTGCATGCACGGTGCCTTGAAAACGACAGTCAAGAAAATGGATAGGTTGACCAAAATAGGGCAAGTTGTGCCTGGGGACACAATTTGTATGCAAATATTTGCTCATGAATTCGAAGGCGGGAGAGAGAGAATGCGGTAAATATGGCTTATCTCTTGACTGTCTGGGGGAGGGGTTGATTTAGGGTGGCTACCGGAAATTTCAGAATCACGCTCAATGGAAGAAAGACGCACCAAAGCTGAAAATTTAACCGAGGGGAAATGAATTTGGCTAGAGAGCGCGAGAAAGAGAGCACGACCGAGCGAGGGAGAGAGAGGGAGGGAGCGAGAGAGAAATTTGGCATCACAAGGTTATTAAAAGAGTGACGAAATTTTGGCTTGTAGCCAGGTTACCAGGGGAGATAACTGCTCAGTGCATCCGTGATGAAATTTCGACCATTTTTTGCAAAATAACTTCATTATTAGGTTTTCATACCACCATGATGACCCAATAAAAGTCAAAATCACTAAAAAATAATTAGAGGATAAGTGAAAAAATCTAAAAATTTTTCATAAGCGCATCTGAAGAATGAATCAGATGACAAATGAATCTCACGTAGAAGCCAGGTTGATCCGAAGGCAAGAATCCACCGGCTTGATCTAATCAAAAGATGCAACGATGGGGGATGGACTCACTCCTCCTCTTCATCACATCCAGGTCTAATGTTTACACAACGGGTATAACGGACTGGATTTATGCCTGGGTCACACGCAGAGACAGAGACAACCACTATCCGCATGTTCGTTTTTCTGTGGGAGGTTCCAAGCGAGGATTAATTGGAACGGTGTACGTGGGGGATCTTGCAGGATATGGCCCCAACTAGAGAAAAAATGTCTAAGCTTACGTCTACGCCTAAGCCTGAGTCCAATACGAACCTACGAACAGGAGACTTTAAAATACTTATACAGCATCCAGGAGCATGATTGTACAGTATGAAGCTTTCGCAAAAACCTGAAAAGGATGTTTTCAAGCCATTTTAACTAACTTGAAGCTTGGTTACTACTTTTGCATAAATCCTCTATTCTATACAACATTTTCAGACGCCAGGTGCCAAATTATCCAACCACTAGGCCCCCTGGAATCCTTAATGAACCTGGCCGGGGTCGGTGAATTGAGCTAGAGCTAGGTGGTGGCACTGGTCGATGGGGGGGGGGGGGGGGGGGGAGTGCCACTTCTCACAACCCCTCCCAACCCCGCCGAATAATGATATTTTAATGTGGAGGGCTGGGGCGACGAATGTCTTGTCCACCCGCTCATGCATACCAAAAAAATCGGGCAGCATGAGCCTCTTGGAAGGGGGGGGGGGGTACATAAGGCTCGCTAGATCCTGGTGGTTTTCGGATATTCATAAAAAATTAGGTGGTGGTCATGTGGGAGAATTTCTAGGATATAAATCGTATCCATATAGAGAGTATAAAGCGAGTAAATAAAGACTACAGCTGACGGAAAAGGGTAAAAATATAACCCCCCCCCCCCATCCATCAATAACCCAAGTGCCAACGGCCAGCTAAAACGCCGGGTATTGGCCAAGGAAAAGCCCCACGTCTAGATGGGGACGGCGTCCCCTCGGGATTTCCACGATTTACGGTCCTGGGGTGGCGGCCAGGGTGAGGATTGAGGCGGAGGGTGCCAAAAAAACGGATTCGTAAAAGCTGCCCTCAACACCCCTGGAAAAGGGCCTATACTGGGACATGTCAAGCGGGTGGTAAACACGCCGACTTAGCGGAGGGGGAACGGGTCAGCGGAACGGGTTCTTGTACTTTTGAGTCAGCAAGTCGTTCGGTGTGAGAAAGGTGGATGCTGAAAGCTTGGTATTAGTGGTTGGAGTTCTGAAAAAAATAAAGGCCTCGCAAATTTGCTACCTGAAGAAGATCTGATATACGGAAAATTCATTATTAAAGCAGAAAATCGATACTACCAGCAAAAACAAGATTGGGCTTCCGCGCGTGAGGGATCCTCCCAAAAGTCTTCTACCCTCGCTGGTGGTGCACTTGCTGCTGTGGGACAATGTGTGCTTGTGCACACCTGGTCGACGGGTCGAATTTCAGCCCCGGCCGAGCACCACGATCTATTTAGAAGAAGTCCAAGCGTTTCCTTGGGGGGAAGACTCAGAAAAATACTCTCTTCAGAATCCGAGAAGGCGAGAATGGCAGCTGGAAAGTGTTTTTTGCTAATTGGGACCTTCGTTCAGAAATCGTGAAAAAAATTGCGTGGCACGTGGTGAACCCAAGCCTAAGCCTACTAAGCCTAAGCCTCAGCCTAAGCCTAAGCCTAACCCTAAGCCTAAGCCTAAGCCTAAGCCTAAGCCTAAGCCTAAGCCTAAGCCTAAGCCTAAGCCTAAGCCTAAGCCTAAGCCTAAGCCTAAGCCTAAGCCTAAGCCTAAGCTTAAGCCTAAGCCTAAGCCTAAGCCTAAGCCTAAGCGCCTAAGCCTAAGCCTAAGCCTAAGCCTAAGCCTAAGCCTAAGCCTAAGCCTAAGCCTAAGCCTAAGCCTAAGCCTAAGCCTAAGCCTAAGCCTAAGCCTAATAGTTAGGCTTAGGCTTAGGCTTAGGCTTAGGCTTAGGCTTAGGCTTACAAGGGAAGTGCACGACCGGCCCACGAGAAATCGACACGAGACATAGTGGATCTGATAGAATCGGACACGGGGATTCCGAATCTGTAATCAGAATTTGCTAAATAAAACGGAGAAAAAAGTTATGAAGCTTCAAAGTTGGTAAAATCGCCCAAAATCGGACTTTTATGGGCTTGTAAAGGCCCAGGAAATGGAAATTTGCCACAACCCATTAGTGCATCTTGTTCAGCAGAAAAAGCGCTTTCGGATGAGCTATCTTACTTCAAGTTTACGATGATTTCGCGAAAATCTCTTCTATGAACTTGACAGGCCATACCCTTGCCCGTGAATCCAAAAAAACTTTTTTCAGTGAATTGTTGGCAAATGCTACGTATTACAGCTCATTCGAAAGCCTTTTTTTTGCTGAACAAGATGCACTAATTCTTTTCTCCTCAATTCCGTTCCCCCGGTTTTTACGAGCCCTTAAAGGTACCGTTTTTGGCGATTTGGCCAACTTTGATGCTTCATAACTTTTTTCTCCGTTTTATTTAGCAAATTCTGATTACAGATTCGGAATCCCCGTGTCCGATTCTATCAGATCCACTATGTCTCGTGTCGATTTCTCGTGGGCCGGTCGTGCACTTCCCTTGTAAGCCTAAGCGCCTAAGCCTAAGCCTACTAAGCCTAAGCCTCAGCCTAAGCCTAAGCCTAACCCTAAGCCTAAGCCTAAGCCTAAGCCTAAGCCTAAGCCTAAGCCTAAGCCTAAGCCTAAGCCTAAGCCTAAGCGCCTAACCCCTAAGCCTAAGCCTAAGCCTAAGCCTAAGCCTAAGCCTAAGCCTAAGCCTAAGCCTAAGCCTAAGCCTAAGCCTAAGCGCCTAAGCCTAAGCCTAAGCCTAAGCCTAAGCCTAAGCCTAAGCCTAAGCCTAAGCCTAAGCCTAAGCCTGAGCCTAAGCCTAAGCGCCTAAGCCCAAGCCTAAGCCTAAGCCTAAGCCTAAGCCTAAGCCTAAGCCTAAGCCTAAGCGCCTAAGCCTAAGCCTAAGCCTAAGCCTAAGCCTAAGCCTAAGCCTAAGCCTAAGCGCCTAACCCTAAGCCTAAGCCTAAGCCTAAGCGCCTAAGCCTAAGCCTAAGCCTAAGCCTAAGCCTAAGCCTAAGCCTAAGCCTAAGCCTAAGCCTAAGCCTAAGCCTAAGCCTAAGCTTAAGCTTAAGCCTAGCCATTCCTAAGCCAAAGCCTAAGCCTAAGCTTACAGCTCAACAACACCAGAACTCCACGTCCAAAAATGAAAAGAAAATAATCCGAGAACGGCGTAAAGTGAGTAAGCACCCAGGAAATGCCCCTTGGCGCTTTTCTCGATATGTTTGATGGGCATGGCCGAGGGGGACCACCGCATAAAAGCACCATTAGGGCCCCCCTGCCGGCAAGTGGACCCAGTTTACAGCCTTGGCCGGCCCGCCATCGCGTACCCCCGGAAGTCACCTGGATATGGCCGGGGTCTAGCGAGCCGAACTAGCGAGGAATATAGCCCCGGCTCGCTTTTACAACATTCGCACGGAGCTCAAAACCACCGGGCTGTCGGCAGTCCACTTGATCCACCTTTAGCGCGCTCGGCGTGTTGGGGAACTGTCGGTACTGCAATAAAATGCGGGGGGAAATAGCGCTGGGAATGGGGATATTTTGGAATTGGGGGAGCTTCTGAAGGGAGAATGGTAGATGATAAGGCTTGCGCTTAGCTTTTGGCTTGGGCCTAAGCTTAGGTTTACGTTAGGCTTAAGCATGGGCTTAGCTTAGGTTGAGGTATATGCTCAGGCTTTACTTAGGTTTTGGCTTAGGCTTCGACGTAAGCTTAGGCTTAAGCCTGGGCTGAGGCTTCGGTATGTGGTTGGGCTAAGGTTTACTTTTAGGCATGGGCTTAGGTGTAGGGGTGAGTGAGG